TTTTTTTAATAAACATCAGCTACAGTTGTAGTGTAAAAGCACTGTGGACAGATGTGTTATGTACAGTGGGTTCATAGGGTGCCTTTACGAAAACATGGATGGCTGGAATATGACTAATGCTTTTTGTATTAGGGGAAAAAAAGGGGTATTCAGAGAAAAATCTGACAAGCCTTTTAATGGCGTGACTCAACAGTGATCTTTTGAAGACGTTATTACCCCACACTGTGCAGCATCACCGAAAGAGAAGATGTTTAATAGAGCACCCATGAATCTATTGTGCAATGGTTTCACATAACCACATCTCATTATGTCTAATTTTAAAATGTAGGGAACATACAGTACAGGGCTCAAGAATAACATAAGTCACACAAACATCCTTGCATCTATATTTACTGTAGTACATAACGCATTAGGTTGTGGCTTCATCTGCACTGATTGTGCCCTCTGCTGCTATTTTCTCTTTTTTTTTCAGATATAGTAAGATGGAGCTCAATGATCTGTATGGGTGACCCCTAAAGGAAGGTCAAAATAAAAGGTTTCTTCGGAGCAGTTCTCAACTTTAATTTCATTTTCTTCTACTTCTTCTCTGCATCTTCTTACCCTCTTTCTTTTTTCTGCATCCCCCTGCATAATTTCCTGGCCCATGCTGCCTGGGCTATAATGCCACATATAATATACATAAAGATATGTTATGCTGCTGCCGTACAAGCTGATGTAGTGTATTTCAATTCCGACGCCGTACTCCGAAGCGTTTTCAAAGTACTTTTCTGGCCCATCAGCACTTCGAGAATTACATTTTCATATCAAATGCACCTCACATTGTAACCGTGTTCCCTTTCTGCCAGGTCTACACTTTAGGCTGAAAAATAAAATGTTGAAACACAATGCATTAGGGACCGTATGGACAGTACAGTGATTCCCAATTACTGTGTCGTGCCATGAGAGATTGTCAGGCGTGCTGTGGAAAACTTTTCAATATGATTTAATTGTTCTGGAAATTATTATTTATTTGCTAGAAATAGTTTGTCTTTGTGGCGCTTTGGCCCAAAGGCAATGTTTCTGTCATTGGTGTGGAACCCCAGTGTTCACCTCCTGCTGCCCTTGCGACCCAATAACAGATAAGCGGATGAAAATGGATCGATAATTTGTCTTTGTTCATCAGTGAGACAGTGACAAATAGGACAGTTTAATACCCCTCCTCTAGGTGGCAGCAGTTGAACTAAAAAGTTTTTAAAAAAAATCACCAGAGCTGGTGAAAAGCTCTTCATGAGTGTCTTTCTTCAATTCCTGTCAGTGTTGAGTTGAACTAAAAAGTTAAAAAAAAAAAATCGACTAATGCATCACAGCAGCATGTAGAAGACACTACGGAAAAGTGATGCAATGTAATTAGAAACAAGAATCAATAAATCTACACGTCACACCCAATTTCCAACTTGCTTGCCAACAGCAAGAAATGGCACTAAACATCAGTTGTGCAGTTTTAGGTAACGCAAACAGTGTTGACTTCAGTTCAGTGCATGGGATTGTTGTGAGTCCCTACTAGAAACACTGAATGCTGTTGTGTTGGAAGTGGAACCTCGGGATATGAGCGTCTCGAGTTTTTCGAGATACGAGCACGCTTGGACGCTGGGTGGCCGAGCACTCTGAACAAGTGAGGAGCCCACGCTGCCTCACTTGTTCACTTCATATGTTCGGCGACTTCTGTATGCATCTCTTCCGTTCTTCATAGAAGTGATGCTCACTTCATATGTTCAGCGACTTCCGTACGCATCTCTTCCGTGATTTTCACTCTATTTTGTACATTATTCTTCATAATAGTGATGTGTCCTGATCGCAGTACGTCCACGATATGTACCATCCTAAAGTGAAAAACCAAAACGTTAATTCTAAGTTTATATAAGTTACATAGTGTACGTGTAAGGTACGCTACAGAATCAAGAGTCTACGTACGGACCAACTCTCTTCCTTCCTCTCTCCTCCTCCTCCTCCTTCTTCGCACATACCGCCATTAGCCGCTACTGTATCGTCTATAGTATCGGAATTGAAGGTTGGAGACCCTCGGCTGTGGTTGCACAAAGAATCGAACTTTTTTTTTTTCTCAAATTCTTTGTGCACCAACGCAAATGACTCACCTTTAGTTTCTCAATTTGTAGGAGCGAAAAGTACCGCTGCCCGATGACGCTGTTGCACCGATGCATTCGAACGCCACTAATTCAACACCCAGCATGCCCGCGGGCTCTCAGGTGGGTGCAAGTGCATTTTATTTTTAGACAACATTGGTACCATTTGGAAAAATGTCAACTTCATTAATCTGAACCGACCAAAGACGGTTGCATTGTCCTTGGTGCTGCTCTGTGAGAGGAGTAAGATAGGGCATCTGATCTAGTTCAATTCCCTCTCTCTCTCTCTCTCTCTCTCTCTCTCCCTCTCTCTCTCTCTCCCTCTCTCGCTCTCTTTTTCTTGTTCTCTTATTTCTTTCTTTGGCAGAAGGACAGTATTGAGTCATACCCATTTGTAAAGCCCGTCTTCCTGCCTCCACACAGATCGCAAACGGGTCAAAGTGAGGCCGCCTGTCCGCGAAACACATTGTTTTGAAAAAACACTACTTACCCAGAAATACCCGATGCCAAACTGCACTTTGTCAAAAGAAAAGTGTGTGTGTGTGTGTGTGTATACCTGTGTAGGTGTATTTTGTAGACAAATACGTACCGTACAGTAAGTGTGTGATCACGGTGTAATGCGAACATGTGTGAAAATGAGTCACCAGCATATGATTAATGTGGTTTATGTGTTTCTGGAGTTTGTCCATTGATTTGCAGTTCAGTGCTTTATATAAAACAAACAAAAGAAGAAAAAAAAACAAGAAACAAAACAACTCGTCGAGCAGACAACAAAGATGTCCTGCTATTGAACCATATATACGAGAATAAACATAATACATACAAAATCTTACTAATATGCAATTAACTCAAGTGATTTCTTTTAAGCTGACGTTGCCATCGATTGTGATGCCATCCATCATTACGTTCTACTTTTCTTTTTCTTTTTTTTTAATTAACAGGATCTGACTGTGGATTAATCAGAACAGCAGACCGCGGACACGCCGCAGATGTTGTAAGAACTGATTGGTATTGCAATGCCGCCATGATTATTTAATTTGTCAGAGTCCCGATAACTTGGAGAAATTGAGCAAACTGATGACTAATGGGAATCTGAGGAGAAACAATTCCTATCCTATCATGAGCGCTGAACACGCGGAGACTAATAAAGACAGATGACAGTGGAGTATTGCAGCAGATTAAACCGCCATGATGAAAAACAAATGAAAAAAAAAAAAAAACTTCCACCAAACACTGGATTAATATCTTTATTACCTGTAATGAGAACAAATTGTGAGAAACACAAGTTTACCAGTAGGTAGTTTAACCCAGGCGTCGGCAAACCTTATGACTTGGGGGCCACAATTGGTCCTAAAATTTGACAGGGGGCCCGGTCAGGAGCAGATGGATGGAGCTTAGATCAATAACATAAGATAAATGACATAAAAGTCATGCATAAAGGCTAAAATGCTAAAATGCTTTTAGCCTTCTCTACGCCATCTATAGGGAAAATGTGGGCATTGCAGGGAAAAGGCAGAAGTATAATCACAATACAAACCAATTATATAATTTGGACAAGTTTGGCGGGCCGAATTACAAAGCTGAACGGGCCGCATCCGGCCCCCGGGCCTTAGTTTGACCATGCCTGGTTTAACCCTTCTGTAGTATGTTTTAGCTTTTTATTTTTTCCAATCAGGTATGAATTAAATTAAAAAGCATTTAATCTGATTAATTAATGGGTAGCTGTGGATTTATCACAATTAACTGAGATAAATTCAACATTCAAATCTGTTAGTTACTGGAACAGAAAAAAATGTTTAATTCCTGTTTGTGTTCATGATTCATCATATTCATACATATCGTAGAAAACACAAAATTTGCCATAAAGCCACGTGAAACAGGGCGAGGAGCCACGTGTTGTCCATGCCTGGTTTACAGTCTCACGACCAATTTGGCAATTGTGTTAGTCAGCTGGTCAGTCTAGACCAGGCATGGGCAAACTAAGGCCCGGGGGCCGGATGCGGCCCGTTCAGCTTTTTAATCCAGCCCGCCAAACTTTTCCAAATTATATAATTTATAATATCATAACACTTCTGCCTTTTCCCTGCAATACCCATGTTTCCCCAATAGATGGCGTAGAAAATGATAAAAGCATTTTAGCCAATTATCCTTATTATGCATGAGTTTTACATGTAATCTATCTATCTGTCTGCTCCTGACCCGGCCCCCCTGTTCAATTTTAGGACCACCTGTGGCCCGCGAATCAAAAAGTTTGCCCACGCCTGGTTTAGACTCATCTGAAGTCGAAGCCTCTTCAGACGCTGGCGTTGAGACAGTATTTAAAGTTGGAGGCGCTTCTGTGAAACACAAACTTGTCATCAGTTGGTGCAAATGTGTATTGACTGTGTATTGGAGCAACATACACCAGATGGATGGTGAAATGATTACATACGCAGTGCATCGCAATACAGTGTGTAGCAATAAAGTGCTGCAGATGCGTCATCGGATGCTCGTGCTTTTCTATTCAAAAGTTTTATCAGAAAGTATGTTGTGAATCTTGGCAAGTACAAGGTACCGTACCACTTGACAGTACTGCGAGTTTCGTGGATGAATCCGAATAAAAACCCGAGTCGTGTCTCTCATTGAATTCGTGTGAAAATACTCGTCGTGCGGAGTGAAGAGTGAAGGGAAAAACAGGTGAAGTGTCAGTGAGTAACGAATTTAATCTGAGAGCGACCTTGATGTTCTTGTGTGCTCGGCTCCAGCGCTGACTTGATTCCAGTCTATTAGAGAAAAAAGGATGATAAGTGTACGAAAACTACTATTGGCAGATTGAGCATGCTCTTGTGTTCCTCATGCTGATTGGCTCATGCATCGTAGCATCTCTCAGCATCTCCCCTCGTTTGTTGGCCACTCTCTTAATATTATATTAATATATAATTTATAATATAATAACTATCTCGCCTCTACTTTTGGCGAGAAATACTTGCGATTTTTCCCATGTCGTGGTGGGTCTTGGAACGCAACTACCGCGATAGGACAGGGATCACTGTATTCCAGGTTGGGTTTCAACCCAATCTGTGAGAATAACTGCTTTTAAGTAAATTGTAGAGACGTCCGACCCGGCCCGATATTAGCATAATTATATAATATCGGTAGTAAACATTATTGGTTTTTCCTCCGAAAATGAAATCCTGGGTTCCCGATATGCTGAAATTTCTTTAGAAATGTATTTTGTACGGACAATGCTAATTTGTGGAGTGCCTTTAGTTGGGCCTCAGAATAAAAGTAGGTAACGTGTTACGTCCATGACAGGAGATATGTGACCTAAAATTAAAAATTTGGGGACAAACGGCTGAATGTATCAGTTGTATCGGTTGATATCGGTGTTTGGAAAATATCGGCATATCGGACATCAGCAAAAAGCTAAGATCGGACATCCCTAGTAAATTGTTTTAATCGTGTTGCGATGAACTGGTACTTGTGGTTTAAACACCGACACGCAGTTAAAGGAGTTGTTCTGTTATTGTACAAACGGCCTGGGCACACAGGAGAGACGCTGCGAATGAATTGTACAAGAACAAAGAGGGAAAGAAAAGAAAGGGACACGGCGAAGAGATAAAGAGGAAACAAAGAAGCAGAGAGCACAGAAGCTGCGGCATCTCAAGTCTGCTGCTCTCTCACAGGGAAACAATTAAGTAACAGAACCGACCTGGTGGTTCCCTAAAGGCCCTGTATGTTATTACCAGGAATGAACGCACGGCATCTCCAGAGATGCCGTACGTTCTGTGAGGCGGTCATTAAACCGAGGCTGTAAGTGAAGTTAAATGTCAAAAGACACCTCCCAACATTCTATCACGCTGCACTTTATTGGCCTTTAAGAGTTTTATATTCCAAGATGTAAAGGTGACAATTACAAGGACCTTATCATCAGCTGAAGTGGAGGTACAAGAGTCTGGCGTGCAAAATGGCACAATGCAAGATCGTGAGAGAAACACTGCACAGAAGAAGATTCAGTTATTGATGTGGGGTTATGTAGTGTTGTTTCCTTACAGATGGAATAAGGCACAGACACTCAGATCTCTGGAACTGTGTTCGACAGAGCTCACTGTGAGGTCATTACAGCCAGGCTTTGTATTAATGGATGAACAGTGGTTCACTGTTGGAGTAAACATGATGTTGGATGGATGGATGGATGGATGGATGGATGGATGGATGGATGGATGGATGGATGGATGGATGGATGGATGGATGGATGGATGGATGGATGGATGGATGGATGGATGGATGGATGGATGGATGGATGGATGAAATGATGGATGGATGAGTGATCAATGGATGGCTGCATGGATTGACAGACAGGTGGATGTATAGCTGGATGGATGAATGGGCAGATGGATGATGGATGGATGGTTAAAATGATGGATTGATAGATGCAATGAATGGTGGATGGGTGGATGGATGGATGGATGGATGGGCGAAGAAAATAATGGATGGCGATGTTGAATAGATGGATGGGTGGATGGATGGATGGATAAGTGATAAATGATNNNTGATAAGTAGATCGATCAACAGAATTATGGCTGAATGGATGAAATGATAGTCGGTGGGATGGATGAATAGATGGATGGATGAGTGATCAATAGATGGCTGCATGGATTGACAGACAGGTGGATGTATAGCTGGATGGAGGGAGGACAGATGGATGGATGAATGGGCAAATGGATGATGGATGGATGGTTGCAATGATGATTGATAGATGCAATGAATGGTGGATGGATGGATGGATGGTTGGATGGATGGATGATGATGTTGAATAGATGGATGGATAAATAGGACGGACAGATGGATGGATGGATGGATAAGTGATAAGTAGATCCATCAACAGAATTATGACTGAATGGATGAAATGATGGTCGGTGGGATGGATGAATAGATGGATGGATGGATGGATGGGTGGATGGATGGATAGATGGGACGGATGGATGGATGGATAAGTAGATGGATCAATAGAATTAGGGCTGGATGGATGTATAGATGGACGGATGGATGGACGGACGGACATTTTCTAAAGCATCAACAGGCTTCACCAAGTGGAAACCTGTCCTTTCTTGTCCAGGATCGGATCAAGCAGCACCATTACATCATGGTACATACAACCTGTAACTGAAGGAACTGGACCCTGAGCTGCAAAGAGCTGAGCTGAGAAGCTCATATGATCAGACATGGTCTAAATATAGGCAGCTGCTGCATGATTCCTTCTGCCTGAGCAGGGATTCACCCGTCCTCCACTGAGAACAAGAGGATAGAGAGCAGTTCTGTGAGAATGGTGGGCGGATGACAAGAGGTTAGGCCCATATTTAGAAGTCTACCATCAGACTTGAGTGTGTGTGTGTGTGTGTGTGTGTTGGTGCTGCTGCTGTGTGTCTTTAAAGACAGATTTGGGTTGACAACAACAACATAAGGCACATTTTGACATTGGCCGGACTTTAAAGCAGGTTCGGAGCGACTTAAGGGGGGGATTTTGTGGGTCAAGACGTGGTTAGGAGGTAGGTTTTTTTAATAGAGTCAGGTTTGAGTTCCCAACTGTGGAGACCAGGGTGGAGGGATGATGAGGGGAGTGGGAGAAAGGGAGAGGGGGGGGGGCAGAGATGTGAGCTATTCACTGCCTCCATCGCAACAACATCACCGTAAACTGTGGATCTGTGGAGCAACGATTATTTAAAGAATAATGACTTGTTTTCATCATTTTTTAAAATAATAATAATAATTACACATTTTTTTAGGAATGTTGATTTATCTCATGTAATCAAGTTAAATTGTGATTAATTACAGTCGCCATTATTCATGATGATGAATTATTTTTTTTAGCAAGCCTGTGATTATTTACGTTATATCTTTTGTCCATGTTTTGTCTCGTGTGTGTGCTTGAGACAGTTGTATTTTTAGTCTTTGGAGGCAGGGCCATGGTGTTAGACTATGCAGGCCATTGTAATAGAACAATTGAAAAATTAAATTCATTTAAATATCATAGTTTCATACTAACTTTCCAGCATCTTGTAGTCACACTGTTCCGGATTTCTTCTGTATTTCTGTAATTTCCCACAACCCATTTTCATTGTAAGTGCAAACGAACCGTGTTTGTTTCTCTCATCACAGCTAAATGATACAGAAAAGTGAAGAATCTGGAATAAATAAGTGAGCAATATAAAACCTTGATCATAACAGTGGTTCACAAGCCATGGTATGTGTACCACTTGTGGTTCTCGGACTCCCTCTAGTGGTACTCGAGGAAATGTGTCTTTGTGTATGTGAGTTTAATTTTGAAAATGTAATTGCTACTTGGTTTTAGCTGATTTAGCTGATGGACTGATAGTCTTGTGATAAGTGAATGGTTTTCTCCATATTCCAAGAGCACTGGTGTGTATTTTCCGATGCGGTGCACGGTGTAAAAGGTTTGAGATGAATAGGTTCATCTGAAATTCGTATCCTAAGGCGTATGGTACAGATTTCAAACTGCTTTCCATAATAGCCAGCCTTCGTAAAACATTTTTTAAAGTGGCTCATTCTGGTGGAATGAAAACTACAAATCACACATTAAGGTGTGTTGAAAACCTCGTAAAAACAGTAAAACTATCTTATTCCTCCACTTGTGCCGATAGAAATGGAAAAATGAAATATTTCCGTGTAAAAATGAAAACCCGTCAGACCAGAAACCATCAGCCCCGACTGTGGATCCTTACCTTGGACGTTTTTCTGAGGTAATATTGAAAATCACTGCAGTAACGGCGGGAGCTGTGGGTAGCTAATCGCTGATGCACATTTTCCTTCTCAGCGTGTAATAAAATCAGCCCACTTGTAATTACCCCTACCTCGCACTTCACTCAAACGCCATGTCATTATTGGCTCAGAGAGACACTTCAGTGATGAAGACAGGTTCTTACAGGCTAAACTGGATTTAAGACCAATAACCAGGTTTCCAGCAGAGGCATTACAGCAGTGCTGGTGAAGAAATTCATTCCACTCCTCACAACATATCTGCACGTAATGTGAGATTTATAGCAATTGATTAAAGTTGCTGAAAATGATAAAAGCCCTGCTTAAACACTGTCTTTTTGTTTATTTGAAAAAAAAAAAAAAGAGAAGAAAATCCTTTTTAAAGCGACCACAGTTTACTCACTCTCAGATAGAAGTCAAGATGGATGAAAACTCCATCACAAGCAGTGGAGCAGGAATAATGTAGTATTTGTACAATACTACGATAATAAAGCTGAACTCCAGACCTGATGGTACAGTAAGTGGATTCTAACAATTGGAGCCTAGCTATGTTATGAATTCCTGTGTATTAAATATATTATCAGCACTGATTTTATTATATAACTATCCAGCTAGCAAGAGAAAGTACGACTATATAATGACTGTATTTAATTTTTAAGTGACTGGGCTAATCCTAATGAAAATTACAAGTTCTAACCTACTACTAGAGCAGTGGTTCTTAATTATTTTCCATCATGCCCCCCTTGAGAACCTGAAAACATGTATTTTTTTTTATATGAGTTATATGAGTTGCTGCCACCTAGTGACTGGAGGCTTGTTATCATTCAAGCATTACAGCAGTGGTACACTTATGTCCAGCGTGCCACACTGGAAGACCCTTATACCCGCCCCCCCTCCCCCCACAGGCACCTAACCGCCCCACTATTTGAGAAGTACTGCACTGGACCAGCAAGAAAGACTGTCCTAATAGCCTAAGAAAAAATTGCAGCTAAACCCTCAATAGATTAAAGACTGTCCTAATAGCCTAAGAAAAAAGATTGGATTATTAGATTGATTATTAGAATGCAGATGCAAACACAGATTTTTTTTTAGATTTAAATCATCTTCTATTCCATGTAAACTAATATTCACATTTTATACTACTCAACCCTATTAAACTTATATACTGATTTGATTGTCGGTCGGCCCATTATAAAGAGAAATAAAGCAATGCATTATATTCATCATTTTAAAAAAATGTTTTAAGTATGTCATTTGTCTATAAGATGTTTATGATGTGAATTTGTTCTGTATTAGTTTTTTTTAATAGGGGTCCTGATTTACTGACTCAGGAAAAACATGGATCATTTGACAAGTGCCACTATAGATTATGTTTTATTTGTGTTTTTACAAGCAGGCCTGGACAAGTGTCTCTGACTGTGCAATGAAATGTGTAAACACACACCAGACTTTCTATAAATGCTCTGAACATGTTTTCCCTCTGTGGTTATTCCCTGCGTTGTCCTTGGATCTCTCACATCAGAGGTCTCAGAACTGTGACAGTAAATATGGCAATAAATTGTGAAGAATAAAAAGACAGATTAAATCGGTGTCATTTTAGAACTTGTTTGTCACACACTGCAAACGGAAAATAAAAGCTTTCTCCTGTTTCTCTCCAAGTGCTTATAAGATAATACACACGTAGTAGACATTTTAATGTCGCTGTCCTGGTTGGTGTAATCTGTAAAATTGATCTAGACTTAAGAAAGACATGATGGATGAATTTGTTGTTACAGGAAAGTATGGAAGAATTACCTGCTGATAAACACAGAACATTTAGTTCGACCTTTCCTGACCTATAGAGCTGATATTAATGTTCTTGAGTATGATGTAGTGGTGCAATATTTATTTATGTATTTATTTGTTTAGTATTCTGGGTGTATGATTATTAAATTTGTTTTATATATTTATATCTATATATTTTATATTGATAACCCAAGAAAGAGCGTTTATATGACCGGACAGCGACATCCAGTGCTAAAGAATAGACTTTCACACGTTAACTTTGAAACGTGTCCGACAGGGGGCGGTGTTATTAACAACGACCGATCTTCTTCTCCTCGGGATCGGGGTTTTCTTTCTCTTCCGGTTGTCGTCTGTTCGTGTGGCAGGTATATCATTTCCTTAATCTTAGAAGGTTTAAAATCTCAATTAATCCTCATATTCTGCGCGTTTGGACCCCAAATAAATTGCATATTCTGAATGAACATCTTATTTACTACGGGGTTAATGCACTATTATGCTGACTAGTTTCTCAGAAAATTATCAAATTAAGTTAATAGTGAGGCTAATGCTTCTTTTAGCATAGCAACCGCCTTTTACAAAATTGTGAACATATAATGGTTTCTTATTAACCTCGTGTTTTTCTGTTTATATATTTAGTACATTACGACTATCTGTTTTCGTTTGGAATGTTCGTGTTGTCCTCCATGTATAACGCCTCTGCTGGTTTTTCTAATTGAGGCTAACATGCTAACTGTTCTGTGCATTTCGTTATTTGTTATTTATTGTTTGTTATTGTGTTTTTCCTATTTCGTCCTTTAGATAGATAAGAGTCGATATGGCCAAGTCAAAGAACCACACAACCCACAATCAGTGTAAGTATACTATACAAACATGTATATGGTTTTATGCAGGCTGCCTTAACTTGACCAGCACATTGCACATTGGATTCATAGGTATAGCTATAGTTGTATTCAGAACGGGCAATTGAAGGTAGTCCTTAAAATGTTTGGACGACTTTAGATGGCTGAAATGTCTTGTAAATAATTTGAGTACACAAGTAACATCAAGATGGAAATGGGTACAGGCAATGGAGATTGACAGTGTTGAATCTGTGTGTTTACAGCTCGTAAAGCCCACAGAAATGGAATCAAGAAGCCCACATCTCAGCGCTACGAGTCGTTGAAGGGGGTATGTATGGTTTTGAAATTCCCACGTTGTACATTTTTACATTTTGAGGTTGAGCTGTGCGGTTTGTCGGGGGGAATAATTAATAGTGAAACATTCATCTTATTTCACTGTAGTGATAAAGTGTGCAGTGTCTGCTATGTGGATGCTTGATTCATTTAGTTTCAGAGCCTGTTTGTGAGGTTTACTCATTGGACAGGTTGATTGGGTACTAAAATGTTTGTCTACACTGCACACTTGGAATGTCTTTAATATTGCATTCCTGGTAACACACATGGGAATCCTTATGTGTTGCGGTGTTTTTAACAGGTCTAGGTTTGTCACATATCTAACTATTGTTTACACTGCACATAATTAGAAGCAGTGTAGATAGGATTTACACAAAATAAAATTAAAGTTTAATCTTTTGGCCAGAATCCAAGAATGTAAAATGTATGTCAAAATGGCAGCTTTTCAGTAAACGTTTTTCTTTTCTTTGTTGGTTAATATCCTGTCTGTTTCTGCTGACCTACAGCTGTACCAATTATGGAACTATGTAAAATTGTTTTAAAAATATTGGAGGAAGCAGAAAGGTGACTACCATTATATGAGGCCAAGATGCTCTCAAGTACATGGGGATGAATACTATCCTCGTGGATAAGGATTTTAGGCTGATTCCATGGGCTGTGTATAGAAGGCACACACTCTAGTTAAATTATTGTAAATTACTGTATAAAAGCAAGCCACGCAGTGTTGCAATACTTATGAATCAAAATGTTTTTTTTTCCAAATGAACAATTTTGCATTTTACAGAACACAACATTGAGCAATGCCTTCATTTAGGTTACATTTATGAATTTAGCAGAGACATTTATCAAAAGTGACCTCTTTAGACTGTTATTGATACTATGTTTTTACTTTTCATTGTGTTACAGGTTGACCCTAAGTTCCTGAGGAACATGCGCTTTGCCAAGAAGCACAACAAGAAGGGCATGAAGGCAGCGCGCAAGGCAGCAGCAGTCCAGGCGAAATAAGCTGTCACTTGACCTAATAAAGCAATGCTTTGATAACATTTTTCTTTCTGTTGCAGCTTCTTTTAAAGATTTGAAATAGGGTTTTCAAGATACCAGAATTTCAGTAGTCGATACCATTACCTGTGAATTTCCCCAATTATTGATACTTTTTCAATTCCGCGATAAAAATACAGAACCCATTTACTTTTAAATTTACTACTTTATTAATGACCGTTTCAAACTGTCAAGTATTTAAGAATACTTTGCTTATTTTTGATCAGAATTGAAATTGCAGTTCCAGCTGCCAAGAGGTAAGTATATTGGAAAAAGGAACAGCTGTGACCTATAGCCTCCCTGTATATAAAAACAAAGTACTGTGTCAAAACTATAGTCAAACAACAATAGTGAACTACTACATTAAAGAGCAGAACAGCAGTGGCTGTGATTTTTGGATGTTAGTTGTTGACCCTCCTGCTTCTGCTTGTCAGTATCTTCCTCAGACTGGTGCTTTAAAGGAAAAAAAGTTCTAGGTAAAATAACACAATCTCAGAGACAGACATGTCGGAGACCAGCTCATAATGTAACTGTACATGATGGTATTACATTTTGTTAACCATGTGTTACATTTACAAAGTTTGTGAGCTGGCTCTCAAGCCCTAATAATCGAACGTCCTCTGGTTTGTAAACTTTTTAAAGTTTAATTTTATTTTCTAATTATATATGTGAGAGGTTGACATTGGCACTTTTTATGAAGTATGCAGGTAATTGAGTATATTGTAATTTAAAAAACGAGAACTATTTGCATTTACACAAAAAGTCTTGACCTCAAATATGTATTGACACCAAATACACCCACCATTCTGAGCGCTTTAGGTCTTTACTTGCAAGATTTGGTATTTTGGTTTGCGTACAAATCCAGGAATATAACCAGGGAAATATGGATTTTACTAAGATTCTGATGAATAATCAAGAATATTAAGATAAGTATTTTCTTCAAAAATAACTAAAAAGGTTTTTTACACAACTTTTGTATCGTTTAAAGGTATTTTTGGTTGTAAGAAAGAAAACCTTTTTTAAAAAGGACTGGATTATTGATTTATAACAAAAAAGACATTTATTTATTTAATTCATCCATCCTTTTTTAAGTACTAACAAGAACGTAAAAATAATTTTGATAAAGAAAAAATGTTTAATGCATCAATAATAACCGTTATAGTAACTATGAAATATATTCTTTATTTTAATTAATAAAAGTACCACATATCTAACCATAGTAGTTTTTATGCCTTGTTTGGTTTTATTTCAGTGACCATTAGCCGTACTGTAGAACTTTACTGTGAAAGCAACCATATGGGCTGCGTGCTGTCGTCACATCCGCTCCTGCTCTGACCACAGCTTGCATCATTTCTCGTCTCTCTCGGCAGCCGGCAGCATGTGAGTATCCAACTTCACGCCGACAAGTTACTGTTTCAGTTTAAGAATAAAGCCTCACCTCGCCGAAACCTGTCGCGGGTCTGTGTTATTATAATTGCCTTTTAACCTTTATTTCATCCGTTTTAAAAGGTGCTAGTTGACGTTGACAGGCGTATTTAGCTTGGTAGCTAACAACAGGAAAGCGTCATCACTTTGAACTTACTCAGATAAATTGATAACGTTAAAATAATTGTTTTGGTAAAGTTTTTACCATCTCTATAACGTCAAGCATTAAAATGAATAACACTGTTGGTTCAAAATTGTGCCAACACCGGTACTGACAGGAGGCGACAGGCATAGTTTTTATGAGATAAAGATGGAATGAATGGAATTTTAACTTCCAGAGTCTTTGTTCTGCATTGGAATGAATTAAACAAAAAATAAAATTTACGTTTTGGAACAGTTACTAATTCGTAACGTTCAAACACGATTTAAGGAATTACAAATAGTGTTTCAGCTGCATTTTATTCTAATGTAGAACAGTGCTATTATTCATCGTAAAGTCAGGTTAATACCTTGTTGTTATGGTACTAGCTTTGCATAAGTTTGGTACAGTGGGAAAAACGCCACATAAATGTAATTTCCTTGATGCTGAAATGTTATAGAAAGTTATGTATATGATAAGTGATTTTTATATATTAGTCTTTCCTTTTTTTATACCTCTCTTCATTAATTTCTTTTACATTTGCCCATATTTTTTATTTCTGCAGACGGACAACATGGTGGAACCAGTCCCAGAGTCCATCAATTTTCCCAATGAGGAGGAGAAAGTACTGAAGTTTTGGCAAGACAAGGACTGTTTCCAGGAGTGCCTTAAGCAGTCCAAGAACAGGCCCAGGTAAATAATTACATTCTATTTTATTCACGTGCCAACCGTTAAAAAGTCTATTGTAAATTTTAAAGACAAAACTTAAGCTATTGTTTCTCAGCCACAGTCCCACAAACCAAAAATAAAACAGGTAATCAGTGATCAGATTTATGTCAGTCTGAAGTAATAAAGCCACCTTTCCTGGCAAACCAGTTTTTCCATTGACTAAGCTGCCTACATGCAGGTGTTAATAGTTGCTCAAAGTTTTAAAGCACAATTTACCATTCAGTTAAACTTCTACTTTTCGCTCTTCCCCTTTTTTTTAATTGTATCCCTTGTGACAAACTTCACTGTCTCTCTGATTAAGGGTTTACCAGAGACCTTTTTACCTTTTTTTTTTACAAAACCATATTTTTGTATTGTACACATTTGAATTTTTACATATTTTTGTATTGTACATATTTGAATAACCATCTTCAGTTCAATTATAGTCAAATATTTTTTTGTTTTAAGAATATGCTAGACTTGCCATCTAAAATAGTAGGTCTGGTAACAGAAATGCCTATAAAGGCTGCGTAGGTATGGCCAAAATGATAATACCAATTATTTTAAGCAATATTGTAATAACGATTATTAATCACGATTATTCATTATGCATGGCACCGTCCCCACACACTGTTCATTTTGGTGATGGGTTAAAAGCAGAGGTCACATTTGGTTGTGTGCAGTGGTGTGCAGTGTCACAATGACAAGTAGTTCACATTCCTTTCCTTCCTACAAGGCTCTCAGTTCAAGATGAAACCTAAAGTAAAGAGTTTATTTTCACTTTCGCTATTGCATCCATTATTTCAGTGTTTATTTTTTAACAAGTGGATAAATACGGCTCTGTGCAGTGTCGTCCTTATGGACACGTACAGGAATCTAGTGGACTAGCCTTAGCTTTCACCTTCGTATATTTATTGTATATAAGTTTATGGTGTGGACTAGCCTTAGCTTTCACCTTCGTATTTATTGTATTTAAGTTTATGGTGTTTTTTTTTAGTTGGTTGGATACATTATTTGTGTTGCTCGTAGGAGCAGACACAACTCTACTGCACTGCATACAATTTCTTTTTGGTCAGCACTAACTCTTCCTCACCTCCAAATGCTGCGACACCGTCACCTTCTGCTACCAACATTATGTCTCACTCTCACATTAGTCAACAATTTGAGGCTGCCCCTTGCTGCTCGCTGCTCACTTCCTAATAAGACAGCTCTCTTTTGTTCTCTCCCTGGTGGTTGGCTGACTATTGATTGAGAGCGTCTTTGATTTCATATGCAGCAGAGCCCGATTTTTTTTAATCTTAATATTGCTAATATTGAATTGTGCAGCCCTACTATCAATTAATTCGTTATTTAAAAAAATTAAGTTACCTGTCTATGCTCCAAAACTAGAGAAGTTTTGCCTGGACATTTTCAACATGATCTGCTGCTTTTAAATGTATGCTTAAAATCTATGCTTATTTTAACATTACAGTGACATTTTACTTTGCTCTATTATTTCATTCATATATGTTAATGAAGATGTTGATTAATTGATTGACGTCATGGTTGCTTTAGTAATGCAAGAGCTTCAGAAGTTTGGATTCTATTCCTTTAAGTAATCAGGTGACAACTTAAATTAAAAGTTATGCAGATAAAGTCCCTGTTTCTCCTTTCGAGGGGTAAAATAAATGTTGTTCCGATGTATCATTTGCAATGTTACAACATCAGAAAAAAAAATGTACTGTGTAACTCATGCAGTTTAATGAATTACTATGCTATATTTTTACAAGGTAATCACGCATTACAGCAACAAAGGCTGATGTTCCTGTCTTTGCTGCTCGTCTTATCAGGTACACCTTCTACGACGGACCTCCGTTTGCCACTGGTCTCCCTCATTATGGTCATATCTTGGCCGGCACCATCAAGGACATCGTTACTCGCTTTGCCCACCAGAGTGGTTATCATGTTGAACGACGCTTTGGCTGGGATTGTCACGGCCTGCCTGTGGTAAATTGGCCTATTTGTTTTTTTTCTTTTACCCATATAGAAAAAAATGACTTTATCAGATTGATATTTAGTTTATTCATGTGTCATGTTTCTTTTTCTTTTCTCCTTTCTTTAGGAATATGAGATTGATAAAACCCTTGGGATCAAAGGGCCTGATGATGTTGCCAAGATGGGCATTGCTGAATACAACAAACAGTGCAGAAACATTGTCATGAGGTACTCCCACGAGTGGGAGGTGAGTGAATATAGGGACACTTTTTTGCCAACAGTTCAGTTATATATATATGTGAGCAGCCTGTAAACATAGAACTGATTTGGATGTATATCTGGTGTCAGAGAGCAAATGTTTGCCTTTAGGGCTGATGGCTATAACCGTTCTCCTGTTTTATTTAATTTCTTCTACCTTCAGACTTCAGTGAAGCGCATGGGCAGATGGATTGACTTCAAAAATGACTACAAGACGCTCTACCCGTGGTTCATGGAGACTGTCTGGTATGTATATCAGAACATCTCTCAATGTAAAGGGGTTTTACCTTGAGCAAGATGCTACTTTTGTATTTGCTTCCTTTACCTTGAGCAAGATGCTACTTTTGTCCAAGTATTTGCTTCACTGGTATTCTGGTCTTGTCTAATAGCCGGTGCAGCTAGTTGTATCAGGAAGAATATCGAATAATACTGAGCAAGAGTCTTACATTGTATGAAGAATATTTACCCTAATAAAACCAGTGTGGTCAATAGCAATAACAGAAGGGAAACTAACTCCAAAACATTTCTAAAAAAACTAAAAAAAAAACTAGGTTTAAAACTTAGTTTAGAACAAATATAATAAAAATACATTTTTTAATTTTTTATTATTCATTTTCTCAGGTGGGTTTTTAAACAGTTGTACGACAAGGGCCTGGTGTACAGAGGTGTCAAAGTCATGCCTTTCTCCACTGCCTGCAACACCCCACTCTCCAACTTTGAGTCCCACCAGAACTACAAGGTTAGTAGAAATGAAGGCTCTTTATGTTCGAAAATCTTTATACAGTATATTGAAGTTGGATTTCTGGTACTATTAATACAGGTTAATGTGATAATTAGATAAAAATGAGTTTGTATTTGTCTTCAGGATGTCCAGGATCCCTCTGTGATCGTCAACTTTCCCCTGCTGGAGAGTGAAGACATTTCTCTGATTGCATGGACCACCACGCCGTGGACTCTGCCGAGCAACTTGGCATTGTGTGTCAACCCAGAATTTATCTATGTTAAAGTCAAAGGTGGGAATTTCTAATTTACTCATTAGCCTTGTTTTCTATTGTGCACAACCACAGAGAAGCCTCTACATAACACGTGCATTTAATTTTAAAGTCTGTCAGGATGGCAGTCCCTCAGTTCTTTGCAATCTTTTTTCCAGTTGTGTCATTCAGCTTTAGTCAGATGTTGACTTACGTATTACCCTGTGCTCAGTGAGGTTGATCTGACACAAGTTAGGTGTTTCATCTCTTTACTGAATGTGGATATATCAAATGCCAGTTTGGAGTGTGTTGCAGGTATTAATTTGTTAATTAGTGGATGTTTAAAAGATAGAATTTAGTTTGAAAATAAAACCGTCCTTGTGCCTGTTTTGCTAAAATAATAATTCTCCAGAAGAGGAGAATTAAATTTCTCAGTCCTGAGGGGGGCAGTGTTGATGTATAATTTCTTTCTACAGTTTATTTCCTCCTCCTGCTGCATAGGAGACTGCTTAGAATACAATCTTTTTCCATCTTTTTTTCTGATTTTCTTCCCTTAATAATTTCCCTTTAGCGCTGTTCTTCTGTTTTACTTTGTTAAACCACCAAGGAGGAAAAAAAAATACTTTATTGATATTTGTTTTTACGCTCTCTCTGTCTCATTTCACACATTTTACTTGTCATGCTTTTCAAAACCCTTGCTGTTATTATTCTGCCTCCTCAGTTAAATTAACCCAACAATTTAATTTATTCCTGGAGGTTGAATGAGTTCACTCTTATCCATCATTAGGGTGTAGTCACTTCAGGAGCACTAAACTGAGAGAACTGTTATACAGCTTCATAGTTGTAGTTGCTTAATGATGTGCTGCCTCACTGACCTTGACATTTGGATGTTTCATTATCCCAAACCAATTAAAAATATACATTACAGTTTATAATCATTAATGAGTTTTTCATGAACTTATGTTGTAATATTTTTCAAGTTAAGGTTTTATGCAGCCAAAGCTATTTATTAATCCTTTCTATGACATACAGACAACACCACCAACAAAGTCTACATCCTGATGGAGGCCAGGCTTGGAGCTCTGTTTAAATCAGAGAGCGAGTACACACTGTTGGACAAGTGAGTAGATAAGATCTCGCAGCTGCTGCTGACAAATGTTCAATAACGTTACTCAAAGCTTTATATCAAAATTGGAGAACTTTGTAGAAAAAAAATGTAATTTAAAATGTATTTTTCTGACCAACAGGTTACTTGATAATTACTGTAATTGTGATTTACTGTACAGTAAAGTGAAAAGGGTCTCGAATGTTTGCTAAATACAGTGGGTAAAATAAGTATTGGACCCGTCACCATTTTTCTCAGTAACTACATTTCCAAAGGTGCCATTGTCATGAACTCTTCACCAGTGTGGTTGCATGGTTTGTTACTGACATCTCGTGAAAATTCATGACAATAGCCCCGTTAGAAATATATTTACTGGGAATAATGGTGACGTGTTCTATTTGAATAAAAATGATATTATAATAATGATCACTTTGAATAATATAATTTTAAAGTGCCTGAGGATTTATTAGCACGCTTTGTGTAATTACAGGTTTCCTGGTAAGATGCTGAAAGGGAAAAAATACAAGCCTCTTTTCCCGTACTTTGCCAAGGTTTGTAGTACTCTGTGTTTTTAGGTTGTTATGAATTCTTATTTTTCACATCACCATTTGTGCTTTAAACATCAACATAGCTGCGAATAAACCTGTTTCACCAGTACTATCATCCAGTACTATCTACCCATCCTTTTCTGTGTTCTATTTTTATTTTGGCTTACTTTGAATTCTCCACATACTTGTTTTGCGACAGTGCGCGGAAAAAGGAGCATTCCAGGTTGTGACTGATAACTACGTCAAGGAAGAGGAGGGTACGGGAGTCGTCCACCAGGCGCCGTACTTTGGAGCTGTAAGTATTTGCTTCTCTGTGTGTGTACTAACACAGTAGTCTTGGGTTTATATATTTAGATCATAATGTCCAATAAGAACTCTATAGCTAGCCCCAACAAAACCAAATATTACACTCTTTAACACTTAAATACCCATAAATATCCAAGGCTCACTTTGGTTACACTACCCCTTGTCAGGCTTTTCAATATCTTTTTTTTCTCTCTGACATTGATTTCTTAGTTGCCGACTACTATTTGTACATTTCAGCCCATCACTTCGACTGTCTGCAGCTGAAAGCGAGGTCACCTTTGTCTAGTACTCAAACAGAAAATCAGGATGTGTGAATTTCTACCTTTACAAAAAGGGGGTTTCTTCACCTGTGGAGCCATAAGACTATTGTATCTCATACCTGAGTAATAGTATTTTGAGCTTTCATTTCTTTCTTATAAATCAATTACAAGTCATTGTATCATAAATTAAATACCCAGAGGCGTATACCGCCGAACAAGTTCAGTGGTTTAGCAAGGTATGTTGAGTTTAAAGCAGGGCTTTCCTGTACTACAAAGGTGTCTCTTCTTTAACTGTCCCTTTGTCTTTCGCATGTTTGAACACACACTTTGTCCTTGTAATGCATTATGCTTGTCCCATAATATGAGTATGAATGAATATTAGGAAAAGTTGGCACAAGCCATGCAGTACAGACCCCGGAAGGACACACAAGGGTTAACCAGGCTAGATAGTATCGATAACTGCCGTCTTGGAACCGTTTAACTTTGTTTGGGGGCTTGAGGATTTTGTTAAGCCAAAACCATGAACACAAAGCCTGGGTATGTTAAACGTCTTTTACACAATACAGGCCCCAGGTCTGGGGCAAACAGATGCATGTACAGCTTAGGCTTTCTATGAATTTTCAACCTTTGTCTCCCTCCCTGACCATTTCTCCCTAATGAACTGTCTATCTCATAACAAAGTCCTTTATTACTTTGTGAAGCTTCAAAGGTTGCTTCGGGTAGATGGAAGATCTGTGTGAGCTATCAGTCATGGGTTTCGACAGTGGGCTTGAATACAGCATAAATTTGAAGCTGGACAGTGCTTAAATCATTCATGCATAACTGTCACATACCAGTGGACCGTGTTGTAAGTGTCTCCCTTTTTTTCCCCCCCTTCCTGTAGGACGATTACAGGGTGTGCACGGAATACAGCATCATCCAGAAAGACCAGGCTCCCATTTGCCCTGTGGATGCCTCCGGCTGCTTCACGTCAGAGGTCACAGACTTTGCAGGGGAGTATGTCAAAGTAAGTGACACGATGACATCAACGTGTATATTGGGTGTTGGCAGGTACTCGCCAATATTTCATCCACCTTTCCTCATTCTCAATACTCACCATTTCCTTTGTGATCTAAAAATCACTGAATTTAAATTAATTAGTTTTTTTGGTATTTTAATACATAAATGGCGAGAATTTTTTGGTATTTTAATACATAAATGGCATAAACTGGTAATGTCGAGACAATTTCAGGCAGTCTGAGTCAGAGGAGACCTACTATGTTGTTAGGTAAAACCTGCTTCCAAAGCAAATCACTGTTTACCGATGCACAGAATGTGCCCCCCACTTGTTGTCACACCCGAGTTCATTACCATCCTCAGTAGATGGTGACTAAAATCTAGCAGCAGTTTATGATCTGATCACTATTTCGCATCCTGGTACAAAGGCAAGGGAGTGGACCGAACCCTGCCGGGCCGCTAACAGTACAGCGTGAGCTAATAAAGAACACGCGGCCACAGTTCACTGACAGTCTGTCATAATCCACTTTTGAAATATGTAAAAGCCAAGCGTGAATTTCAAGGCTGCTCGATACATTCCTAACTGCCACATAAATACTTGGAGGGGAACTATAGAGAGCGTCAGGGGTTGCAAGACTGTATTCAAGGGAAGCTAGAAGAGCAGTTGTTTCTCTCCAATCTTAGAACTAAAGCACTATTTACACAACATGAGGTCCGGCTCGTACAATCAGAAGAGTCTGCAAGTCAGCAGCTCTGGCAGCAGAGTGAGGGTTCTGAGCCCCTCGCCCTCCCGGTGCCGTGGTTCATCGTATGATAGCCGTGGACGTTCAGGATATCGCGGCGGTGCTGTGGAGCTGGGCACAGAAATACACCAGCAACATGCCAACGAGAAAGAGGAGATGCAGGAACTCAATGTCAAGTTTGCCGGATACATTGAGAAAGTCCAAGCGCTGGAGAAGAGAAATGCTGTGCTGCACGCCGAACTGGCTGCCCTGCAGGGGCGCTATAAAGGAGGCCCCACGGGCATCAGTGAAGAGTATGAGCTCAAGTTTAAAGAGGTGCGTGACCTGATTGAGGCCTTGACTAATGAGAAGGGAGCGGTCGACATCGAGAGGGGCTACCTTGAAGAGGAGGTTGAAGTGTGGCGACTTAAGCTGGAGGAGGAGCTGGCACTCAAAGAGGAGGCAGAAATGATCCTGAGGGAGTTTCGTCAGGATGTTGACAATGCAACGCTGCAGAAGGCCGAGCTGGAAAGGCGCATAGAACAACTAGTGGCTGAAATAGAGTTCCTCAAAAAGCTGCACGATGAAGAGGTGGCTGACCTCATGAGACAGATTGAGGACTCAAAGGTTACCGCCGAGCTCGGCGGCGATCGTCCTGACCTGGCCGCCTACTTGCGCAACATTCGCGCAGAGATCGAATCCGTTGCTGCCCGCAATGTCCAGGAAGCAGAGAAGTGGTACAAAGCTAAGTTTGACACTCTCAAAGACCACGCTGGCAAACATGAACAACAGATGAAGACCATGAAGGACGAAATTACCACCTTCCATAACCAGGTCACAGATCTGCAAAACCAGATCGATGGGCTGAGGGCACGCAATTCCGCCCTGGAGCAGCAGTTAGAGGACATGGAGATGGCTCACTTTGACAAGGTGGGCAACCTGGAGGGCATCATTGCTCAGTTAGAGTCCCAGCTCTGTGAAACCAAACTTGAGATGACCAAGTACCTCCAAGACTACCAGGAACTGCTGCACATTAAGCTCAAGCTGGACGCTGAGATCGCTACGTACAGGAAGCTGCTAGAGGGAGAAGAGCAACGTCTCGGTATTGCCAAAGATGTTTAAATATCCTGCATCCATCCAGAGCAGCAGCACTGCACCATGGATTGAAGAGATAATCTAATTCAAGTTAAAGACTCCAGATTTTGTCCCCCGTCAAATAATTCTTTTTCCCCGACCAACTTATTAGCCTCTTGCTTGCTTTCCATTTCCAAGTACCTCCAGGACTACCAGGAACTGCTGCACATTAGGCTCAAGATCGCTAGATACAGGAAGCTGCTACAGAGAGAAGAGCATTGGCTCGGTATTGCCAAAGATGTTCAAATATCCTGGATCCATCCGAAGCAGCAGCAGCAGCATTGCACCACGGAGTGAAGAGACGATCTAACTCAAGTTAAAAACTCCAGATTTTATCCCTGTCAAATATTTTTTTTCCCCACCAATCTACTGGCTCCTTGCTCGCTTTCCATCCTTTTTTTTTTTTGATTCTGCTCTTGTCATCTTTTCCATTATCCCCTTTGCAGTTATCTCAGTCTTCCTTATTTTGATCTTTCTTCAGTTTCCACCCTTTTCGTCACCTCTGATCCTGCACTTCCCTGCCTCCCTCTCTGCCAAAACCATTTACTAATGTGTTTTTTTTTTCTCCCCCACTATCACTCCTTTCCACTGTTGGTGGTTTCAAACCCAGCAACCTCACCACAAAATCCTTTAGTTCTGCCTTGATGTGTGACACATCTCAGCCCACACACAGCAGAACTTAGCACGTGGGCTCTGCATAAAACATTCATGTTCCAAGTGTTTCAGTGATGATGCAACTGTTGACCCTTCCACACTAATGTTGATCAACTGTTACCTAATAAAGATTGAAGTGAGTGCACATTACGCGCTGCAGTGGTTTCTTTCTTTTGTCTTGTCTTTTGTTGTGGCTTGCATTTTTTTTTCCACATCGAAAAAATCTTACCCAGTCGTGGTTTTTGTTTACTCAAAATGAAGCACATCAAAAGATTTCAAAAGATCTTTACAACCAGTCAGAAGAAAGAGATATAACGAAATGTATTTGCACCAGAGGAAAGAGTCAACAACAGCCTGCTGAAACAAAAAAAGTTACAGCTACAGAAATTTTACTTAGAAATGTTGCTCTGTAAGAGGGAGGTGAGCAGTCGTGTGTTAATTCAATGAACTGATTAAATTGTTTGCCAGAAACAGATAATTATTTATTTTTGGAGATGTGTGACCTTTATTCTTCCAAGAATCAAAAAATGGATTCGCTATTAAAGTTTTTTTTTGTATTTGCGTTTGCGCAAATGATAATTACTAGAATAAGAATAAATTTTCATGTATTTATGTTCACTTACATGAATTATTAAAAAATTAAAATTAGTTGAAAAAGGCTACATTTAAATTTGACCTTATTAACTGTTGTTCTTTACTTTGGTCAATGTTACCGATTTTAAAAAATTTAAAAAAAATTTAAAAAAGCATTAGAAAATAAAGCTAGCATTAGAATAAAAAAAAACATAATTAAGCAGTTCTCTGTTTGTTTCGCATTAGAAAATAAAGCTAGCATTAGAAATAAAAAAAACATAATTAAACAGTTTGTTTGTTTGTTTTTCTTGTTCGAAGGATGCTGATAAGAACATCATCAAGTGGCTGAAGGAGAAGGGCCGTCTTGTGAATGCCAGCACTTACAAGCATAGTTACCCCTTCTGCTGGAGGTGAGAACAATATCGTGTGTAAGCAGAAGATTTTCCTCAGATAAAAATTATTTATTGGGACTTTTATTACTTTGGACAGTAGTTTGGAAAGCTTAGATGAAGTTAGAGAAAAGCTTTTTTTTATTGTAGTTTTGATCACATTGAAGTGTTAAATGAAAGATAATGAAAAAAAATATGCAGTTTGATTTAATATGGGAATCAAGACTCAGTGATTGAAGGTGCAAATGTCTCCTCGCTGTGTTTCCAGTTTTTAATTTTGATTGCTTTTTATGGTAAAATGTCTGTGCAATAGCGATAAGCACACAAATGTGTTGCCTTTTAACTTCATCCACTTGCACAGATTGACTTTTGTAAATTTAACTAAACAGTATTGCTGTTTTTCTGGGGCTTTATTTGTTTTCTCCTGAACTAGAAACCAAATTTTACCCCTCAATGTGCTTGATATCGCAGCGTGACAACCAACACTCACTCAACTGAAAAACCCTCAGTGAATTCAGAAGTTCAAAATAACTTTTAACTTTTCGCATTTGCGGCAGGAGACAAAAAAAAACCCATCAAGTGACAACATTTCACAGGGAAGAAATAATTATTAAATATTTTTAATAATTTTATATACTTTTTTACAAGTCTTTTGAACTATAGTGTCAACTTGTGTTGTGTTCAAAATAACTTTTAACTTTTCGCATTCACGGCAGGAGACAAAAAAAAAACATCAAATGACAACGTTTCACAGGGGAGAAATAATTATTAAATATTTTTCTTTTTTACAAGTCTTCTATCTTTTGAACTATAGCGTCAACTTGTGTTGTATGTTAGTAATTCTCTCAGTTTCTGCCAAAAAAAATTTACCTTTTAGATATACTTAAAACTAGGAATAAATAAAACAGAACTAAATAAAAAATTTAATAATTTGCTTACATGTGAGTAAAACATGAAGAAAGGGTAGCAGAAAAGTAGACAAGGAAAAAATATTAAAAGAAGATTTAAGAACAAGTCCCAAGAATGTAACAAATAATCTTGCTTTTTCCAAGTTGGAAAAGAAACTCACTAATGTCCCAAAAACAGAATAAACACTAAACTTTGCAGAGACATAACCCTAATACTGCTGAAAACATCTCCAGGGCAGACTGGAGGTATATTTAAATCTGTTTTTACTCTACATTTAAATTGTGTTTCTATTTTGTAGGTCTGACACGCCTCTGATTTACAAAGCTGTCCCCAGCTGGTTTGTCCGAGTAGAGCACATGGTGGACAAACTACTGGACAACAATGGAAAATGTTACTGGTAAGAAGCTACACAGTGTCCTTGGAGCCACTTGGTCTTTTATCTCCACTCATGAATAAAACAAAATGTTGGTTTTCTTGGAACACATTTTTCATGCCCCTAATCTGTGCCAGTTTATTTAGCCCTTTGTCCCGGTCAAATGACACATTGTCTACAGGGAATGCTATGGGAATACCGAGGATTTGGATTTGAAATGAATATGCGTGGCAGTGGCATCTCCACTGTTTCCAGTCGATGTATGCAGAGCATGGTTTTCTTGAAAAACATTGTCAGAATGCTAATATTAACACATCACGATGGAGTGAAAGTAGGTGTCGACAGGACAGCTTTACTAAGTGTTTTCTTCAACACTGGTGCTTCTGGTGTCGTTTTCGGAGCCACAGTAGTTGGCCTGTGGTAATGGGACTGTCAGCCCGAGATGAATGACTTGCTGCTGGGAAGGTGAAGACGCCCAGCCTCGTATAGAAACCCAACACAAACACACGTACAGTACACACACTGTTTTAAAGGTTAAATCCATTATAAAACGGATTGTGGCATCATACAGTTCACTGCATTAGCTCAACATTTTGGTTGGATTAACTCCTCAGTAATGGATGTTGATTTTTTTTTTTTTTATTACACATTTTATGTTTAAAATGCTTCATCTATGTATCCCTTAATATACCAACAATCAATAATTGGTTGAATGCGCATACATATAGTTATTAAGCAGTATTAATAAGTAGTAGGTGTGTTTGGGATGATTTCTCTTTTATGGTCATTCAACTTGTTGCTAAAATATTAAAATGTGAAACCATTTAATATTAACTAGGGTTGAGAGGTGATGGCTTTGATTCATTAATCACAGAAATCATAATGCACACCCACGTAACACCGATAGTGAAAGTGAATTATCTCCCCTCCAATCAAATGTGACCTCTGCTTTTAATCAAAGCTCTGCTGGTGGAATCAAACATGAAACCTTCCGGACCCAAGTCCGCTTCCTTAACCACTAAGTCATCACTGCCCCCTCCCCTCCACTCCACTCCCCTCCACTCCAGAAGGTGGTGCAAGTGTTATGCAAGATGCGTTGAGTGACAGCACCACAAAAGAAGGTGTAAATGAACGCCGACAGTAACATATGGGTTAGAATAAGTGTTTCATTGAAGTTCTAAAGTCACACGGAACTCTTCATATTAAGAACTTCAACACTTTGAATTTTTTTTTTTTTTTTTTTTACAGATTTTGTGTGTGTTTGCGCGTATAAGAAAGCACTCAGTGTGGTCTCACACAGTAACAGTAAATGACATCACACAATTTTTTTCACTTAGTGGGTGTTTGTGCAAAAAAAAAAAAAAAAAAAAAACCAACCCAGATGGGGTGTGACAAGTCTTATTAGTTGTAAGGACAGAAACACATCGCTGCATGGCTTATATTTAAATGTCTTTAATGCAGCTACAAAGATTATTTTTTTGTTTGCAGGATATTCATTGGTGTCGTTGACATCTGAGCTTTTTACATTATTTCATTATTTTTTCTCCCTAAATTACATTTTTCCTCTATCCTTACTCCACTGTCTGTTTCTACTGTATCATCTGCTAACACTTCATCTGCTATCATAGTTCCATGTTAACTGGCCTTATCTCTTCTCTAGCGTAGTATCCATGTATTGTAAATTGACTGAAGAAGGCTAACGGCTGGGAAAGGTGGGGGTGGAATTGAAGAAGCAAACGCAGGAAAGAAAAATCAATACATGGATACACTAGGATTCTAAATAGAAATACCTCCTACAAATGGAAATTGATGAACTTGTTGCAAGTGGATTTTCACAACGTTTTACCCTCACAGCAAGAAATCCCTTCTGGAAAAAATGGGGGAAAAAATATGAAACAGATGCAAAAAGAATGACGCTCATTGCTACCCTGTAATTGTTTTTATTTTTTAAATTTTGAATTGTTTTACTGACCCGATTGTAATGTTATTTATGAGGTTCCTGACCTCTATCGATCGACCTCAATTGATTAATTGATGTTAAATAGTTGTGTAAAAAAAATAAAAAAATAAATAACACCTCTGTTTTCTCTGCAGGGTTCCAGAGTTTGTGCGCGAGAAGCGTTTTGGGAACTGGCTAAGAGATGCACGTGACTGGGCAATTTCAAGAAATCGTTACTGGGGAACGCCTATCCCGATGTGGGTCAGCGATGACTTTGAGGAGGTCAGGAAAGACAAAATTTGATGCTTTGATAAGGGACGTTAGACTTTTTTTTTTTTTTTGTCCTTGTTATATATAGAAATAACACACTTTGTCTGTGACATATTCAAATACCAGCATAATTATTATTTCCCACGGCTACTAATCATTGTTGACAGCAACACCAAATTTATTTGGGCCATGCGTGGGACGGCATAATTGAAAAGTTCACCTCTGCAGCAGTCTTAGAAATTAGTTTGTGCAAAATATATTTTGTCCCAACGATGGACCATAAGTCTGGCATGAGGCTGCAGGAACATAGATTTTCATCCCGAAATTCTCAGGGTAATTTTATTTTTATTTTTTTCCACTGACCTCTTTATGAAACATGCATAATTCATTGTGTTTTTCCTCGTGTGTGTGTGTGTGTGTGTGTGTGTGAGACTCGGTTGCTTGAGGAGAAAATGGGGTCAAAGTAGAGATTGCGTGATTGTTGCATTCCCCCTTAAGTAACATTACACAGTGTTGCCATGAATTCAACAACTGAATGATTTGGTAATGTAATTAGCGAAAAAACATGGATTTGCTGATTACAAAATGCTCTTAGTTTCTCATAATGCTCATGAATAGAATTACAGCAAAACGGCAGTTAAAAAATAAATGAACCAATAAATAGAAAAGTATGACTGGGACATTTACATTTATTGTAGTAGGAAGACTACACGACATGCAATGTAAAATCTGGAGAAAAACTTTACTCACAGAAGAAGTTTGTGTGTGTGTGTTTAACTCCTTTCAGGGGGGCCTTTCTCTGGCCCTGTCTTTTTTATTCTACTCTTTTCATTATCTGACTGTATCTGGGCCATGTTACAAACTGCTTTGCTAAAACTAGAGCAGCGCCTACTGCTTCATATTCTAGGGGGACTCAGAAACACAGGTTACCCCAAATTCAGAGGAAATGTAATTCTTGGCATATTTTATTGCGAGATTGTGGCCAATTTATTTAGCAATACATAAAATCCACTATTAAAATTATGGAGTCGTGCGAACACTTAAAGAAGTTCTAGTTTGGAGTCGTGCGAACACTTAAAGAAGTTGAAGCTTTGTAAAGCTGTTACTTAAGTAATGAGAATGGACATTATAGTGTATTTTTTTTTTAAAAAACTTTCATTTATTGTGGACAGAGAGTGACTGAGGGATTCTATTTTCCTTTTGTAAGTCTAAACTCATGACTAATCATTATGTGGGATCTCTGATTGTATGTGTGTGTATTTGCGACAGGTGGTATGTGTGGGGTCCACGGCTGAACTGGAGGAACTGACTGGCACCAAAGTAACCGATTTGCATCGGGAGAAGTGAGTCTTTTATTTATATATATATGTATATGTGTATGTATATATATATGAATATGAATATATATGTATATATATGTATATATACATATATATTCATATATATATATGTGTATATATATATATATATATAGTATATATATATATATATATAGTATATACGTATACCAATATTAGAACATAAAGGTCAAATCTGGAGCCCTCCCCATGTTCTGACCCGTGCTGTGTACACAAATTAAAACCAACCACACAGCGTCAGCAGTGACTGATGACTGTGTATTAGGCCTTGGTGTTCTTGGTTCATTCAGCTTTGTTTGTATGTTGCCATGATAACTGTCAATGCCTCCTCACCGTCAGCCCTCACCCACTTATTACTCATAGCTTTTGTACTGAAGCTCGGCTGATTGTCTTGTTATTGCCTCCAGCTTCCTCATCACATTGCTTCACCTTCCCTTTTCCTTTCTTTCCATGTGCCCAGCATCGACAGTCTGACCATCCCATCACGGTGTGGTAAGGGAACACTGAGGAGAGTCACTGAGGTGTTTGATTGCTGGTTCGAGAGTGGAAGCATGCCCTACGCCCAGGTCCACTACCCCTTTGAGAACAGGAAGGAATTTGAAGACACGTTCCCTGCAGATTTCATCGCTGAAGGCATTGACCAGACAAGAGGATGGTGAGCTGAGTATGAATGAAGTAGAGTTGGGCGATTCTCATTACCATCATTTCCAGACTACTGAGCACACCTGAATATAGGCCGCTCCCAGTAAATTTTAAAGGAAATAATTGTACATATATAGGCCTCACTTCTCTATAAGCCGCAAGTGTCCACGTTGTAACATGGGATCAACAGAAATAATTTTTTCGAACACGTTAGCTGCTTCCTGCTTCGGAGCCCCGACCGTAGTTGGAATGCACAGGGGAGACTTAGTGATCTGCTCCAGGACTGAAGCTAACATTAGCTCGGGAGCTAACTCCCTTCACTTTGTGCTTGTCCACAGCAGAGGTAAACAGAAACAGTGAATTTTGGGTCTTTATCCCACATATACTGTATATATATATATATTTATATATGTCTATATATATATGTCTATATGTATATATGTCTATATATATGTATTTAAATGTGTGTATATATATGTACGTATATATATGTATATGTACACACTAAGTATGCCAAATTATCTCTATGGTATGTATATGTATATATAAGCAGTACTGGTATAATTATAAGGATATTATGTGAACAATTATAAATAAATAGTTTAAATATACAAACAGTATAAAAAGTAGTTAAATAATTACATTAAATACGCAGTTCACTATATAGGCAGTTTCAACAGATTTTGCCCAAGCCTAGAATGAAGACAGAAACGTTTCGAGCCGTCAATGGTACGAGGTCGAGCCAAACATTTAAAACACTTCATTTGTTTCCCCCCCTCCAGGTTCTACACTCTCTTGGTGCTCTCCACAGCTCTGTTTGGAAAACCTCCCTTCAAGAATGTCATTGTGAACGGCTTGGTTCTGGCCAGGTCAGTAAAATGATTTCTGCTCAAAGATGAACTTCTGTGAATTAAAGCCAATTTTCTTCTACGCTTGAGCTTTTGCTTTTCCAAATGTACAAAGTACAATTTCTAAATGTTTTGATTAACCTTTTGAGTATCATTTTACCACGTTTTAATCAGTGAAGAGTCTGCCCCCCAGCCAACTATTTATATATTTATATCTTTAACTAAAGACCTCCTAGATGTAATGAATGACTTGGCCTGTTCTCTTACAGTTACCATTGTTCTTATGTTCATTCATATTTTCTCTGGTCTGCTCATTCACCTGACTTTTTCCCCATTGTCTCTTATGATCATTGTTCTGTGTTTGTTGTCACCCTCAGCTTTTAGAGATTCTTTACTATGTCAGTGTTTATCCTCAGCCCTGAGGCGTTAATACAGAGTAGCACTCGGGCCTGTTGACCTGGAAACTATAAGCAGTCATTTGAACGCACATCTATATATATATATATATTAAATATATCTATCATGCACATTTAAGCATGTTTGCATGTATGTGTGTGTCTCTGCTCTAATGCATCTGTCTGCCTCTCTCTTGCAGTGATGGACAGAAGATGAGCAAGCGCAAGAAGAACTACCCAGATCCGGGTCTCATCGTGCAGAACTATGGCGCCGATGCCCTCAGGTCAGTCTGCTTGAGTGTGAGAAGGAGTGCATCTCCAAAGCTGTGTGTCTGTAGTATGGTTGAGTTTGTTTATTGCCTTGGGTTTACACCTGAGCTCAAATCACTATCAACTTTCAACTTAAAATTTCAACCCTAAATATACCTAAACACTGTAAAAACATTTCCATAAAACCATCTTCACTCATTATGTGGGGTTTTTTTTTTTTTTTTTTGGCCCGAGCAGTAGAGTGCCATATGGCCTAATGAATAAAGCACTCTGCAGTTGCTCCATATGCTCTCATATAAACTGAAGAAGCGTCGCTGCAGAGATGAAGAGGAAAATGCAGCAGTTCGGTTCAATTCAAAGATCACAATTTCTTTCTATTTTGGCTAGAGAACCTAAATTATCTTCTGACAAGTTTCTTTTTTCTTTTTTCTTTTTAATGCGTCTCAGGTCAGGATTGTTGAACTTCAAAACAGACCAGTTAGATATAATAAAAACACATTGGAGACATAAATTGAGCATAGATGCAGACAAGTTGGTTTCCTCATACATTATCGTCAGGAAGGTCAGAAATTGTACAGGCTGTTATGCCCTAGCCATTAATGCAAGCCTAGAAATGTTTCATTTATTTTTTCATAATTTTTTTAAAGTATGCACTCCTCTGTTCGCTCTCCTCTCTCCTTGGCCCTGGCCTTTACTTATATAACATTATTTGAATTGCACTCACCTACATTGGGGCTGCACCTTGGCCACCACTCCTGTGCTCTCCCTTCTGCAGCTGAGCGCTAACCTCCACCACGCCCCCACAAGCTGCATGTACATTGAATTTTTATCTACATTGTTTTTCATGGTCGTGTTTTTAATTTATTTACATAATATGTATGTCTTATATTTCCATTATACAACTCTGCTGTGCATATAGTTGTGTGGAAAAGGGTAATACAGTCTAGGAATGGTTGATAACAGTGTGAAGGAGCTTCGTAAAGGGTAAATATATACGTAAATAATAACTAGAATAACTATCTCACCTCTACTTTGCGGATTTTCCCATTGTCCCATGTTATGTCCCGTTGAGAAAAAGATCGATATATATTAAAATATCAAGATATTGCTCATCCTAATCTCTCCCTTTGTAGGCTCTACCTCATCAACTCTCCAGTGGTGAGAGCAGAAAATCTGCGTTTCAAGGAGGAGGGTGTGCGGGACATGTTGAAAGACGTCTTCCTGCCGTGGTATAACGCCTACCGCTTTTTGGTGCAGAACGTACAGCGGCTACAGAAGGTACGATTAAGAAATCATTAAGAAAGTTACATTTACAATATCACAAAGTTTTCCTGTTCTAAAGTGCTGCAACCACACTAGGTTGACTCTCACAAATTATAGTATAGTTCACCTGTTCGGTTCTCAGCTTCACCATTTAAAACGGCCACAATCAAGATGGATTTGAGTGCTGTTAAAATGCTCAAACATTAAAGCTGATAGGTGAGCGGCAGCTCATGATATAATTGATAAATTAAATATACTTGAGATTAATTGCTGAAATGATTATTTTCTGGTATCAGACCTGTCAAAAATTACAAATTGTGATTTTTTTTTTCAGGAGGAAGGGACTGTGTTTCTGTACAACGAGAACACAGCGAAGCCCAGTGACAACATCATGGACAAATGGATTCAGTCCTTCACTCAGTCCCTCATTCAGTTCTTCAGAGCTGAGATGGATGGTGTGACATAAACACACACACACACAGATACACAAACAAATGTTCTGCAAAAAACCACACTGACTTGGACTAAAAAGAGCCCTGAATTTAAGATTTAAAATTCAATCCTCTTAGGTAACACTTTATATTCAGTTATTATCTGGCCCAGACTGGTGAGAAATTAAAAACCCACCACATGAACCTGTTTAGACAAAACAAAAATACACAACAAAATAATTTGTTTTCGCAGCTTATCGCCTGTACACTGTCGTGCCTCGCCTGGTCAAGTTTGTGGACATGCTCACCAACTGGTACGTGAGAACCAACAGGCGTCGCCTGAAGGTGAGATGACATCTTTTTTTTATTACTGCTTTAATGATGTTACTTTTTTTTTTTTTACTAGTAAGTGACCAAATTGCAAAATAGTTCTTTCATGAAATAACCATGAAGTATTTTTCCGGATTTGAGGGTTAGTGCATTACCATTTGCTTTCTCTTTTTCACTTTTTAGGGAGAGACCGGCACCCAGGACTGTTTGTGGGCACTGGAAACTCTCTTCAGTGTTCTGTTCTCCATGTGTAGGCTGATGGTGAGTGAAACTCTCCGATGTTTTAAAGTATGTGTATTTTAATTTGTGTATTCACCAATATCTCGGACCATAATTGATAGCTCTTTATGTTCAGTTACAATAAATAAGAAATGTACTGGAAGACAGTGTTAAAGATGACACTGCTCTTTGGGTCAAGGGGTAAAATGCATCAAGTTCAACCCAAACCACAGTGAGCACACCCAAAAGAAAGCCAGTTTTATTTCAACAGTAACAAAAGGATATTTCAATCCAATGGAGAAAAATACAGATTATTTAATCTGTATTAAACAAAAAACAACAACAAAATTAAACCTTTCCTGATCTCCAGGTGTTTTATAAACTCCCTCGTAGCATAAGAGAACCAAACTTACAGTCTCGCTTCTGTCTTTGTTACTGATGTTAAAAATCCTCTAAACTGCTGACATCGTTGACCTACTTAAATAAACCACCCGTGAGGACAATGAGACACTGAACTGCAGTAAAGTGTTGCTGAATCAGCAAGTTTTCAAGTCCAAGCATTTGATTAATACATTGGACCCGACATTAGTATTGCAACATGTGATTGGTTGGAACTGAAAAGATAGCACATTTCAGGAATTTTACCGTTTTTGTGACAGGCACCAAAATGAATGAAATGTCAATGAACTGTGATAAACGGCTTCAAATATTTGTGTCAATTGACTCTCTTTTCTGCTCTCCTCTCTTTCCAGGCTCCCTTCACACCCTTCGTAACTGAGATGATGTACCAAAACCTGCGTCACCTCATCGACCCAGTATCGTTCGATGAGAAGGACACGAGCAGCATTCACTATCTCATGCTGCCTCAAGTCAGGTTAGTGGGCTAAAAATGATGCTTTCATTTTCAAGTCAAGGATTTATTGCAATACAAAGATGGTACACAGGCGTACAGATGTCTAAAAAAAAAAAAAATCTGTACTGTATTGATCCCATATTTGGGAAATTGTTGTGTTAGCAGTGTGTTAGCCCCAAGCAAGCGAAAATGATTTTTCGTGTGGTTCCTCTGGGAATCGAACCCAGGACTCCCTGCTCTCTGCTTCTGAGGCAGGCGTGCTGAACGCTACGACTAGAAACAGAAACTAGAAACAGCCTCATGGAAACACCTCACAGAAATACTTTTATCTCAACTGTGAGGCATGCTATTAAATACTTTGAATAAAACGTGTGCCTTGATTACTGATGGGCTTGTTAAGTACCTGGGAGAATCTTTTGTAATTGCATCATCTCTAATTTTATTTCAGTAAGTATTCACTCACATACGCTCGACTCAGCAGAAAGAAAATGCTTTGTGTAATTAGTCGATAAAAAGTCTCGTCATTGCTTGTGCTAAAAGCCGAGCAGCTCGTCTCCTCTGCTTTGGAATGGAACAACATTAAAACTTAATGTTAGCTGCTACTGGGACAGGAGGAAAGATCAGCTTCTGCTCAGTCACTTTATTTAATGACTCTTTTCTCTCTACTTCAGTCGAGCCTCATACCGCAGAATAAATAAACAATTCTTGTAAACATGCACGGTGAAACCGATTTTCACATTATTATCCCCACGATACCCCTCTTCTTTTCTTTTTTTTTTTTTGGTTGTTATTTTCTTGGTGTGTTAAAGAAACATGTTTACGTGGATAATTCCTTCATTTTTTTTTTCTTTGCTGTTATTGTTTCCTTTCTCAGGGAAAGTTTGATTGACAAGCAAATAGAGAATGCCGTGTCTCAGATGCAGTCCATAATCGAGTTGGGCAGAGTGATCCGAGACAGGAAGACCCTGCCTGTCAAGGTGAATGATCAGCTTGTATCCACTTACACACTGTGACACAGTGATGGAACTCTAAAAAGACAAACTTTTATTCCCAACACCGACAGATAGATTTAACAAATCAAAACGGTGTGGAACTAAATCTGCATGATTTTGTCTCGCTACTGATCCAGGTCTTGCATGTTGTGCTGTAGGCTTGAAGAATTGATTCAGTGACTGACTCTTATGGACTGTATTTCAGTATCCATTAAAGGAGGTGATAGTTATCCACCAGGATCCAGAGGCTCTGAAAAACATCCAGTCCTTGCAGAAATACATCTTGGAAGTAAGACATTTTTTTTTTCAAATTTCTTCGTTAACGTGGCATTTATGAGCAATGTTAAGAACAACATTTTCAGTCAGCATGTGTTTTGCTGACATTGAGATTGTGTAAAACAAGTGGAAATGTTCCTGTTACACACACTGTGACAGGTTTATCTTCGCCCAGACGACCAATGGTGGCTACAAGACAGTCGCATCATTTTGGCTGAGATATACTCTGTTCTTCAACCCTCAGGAGCTGAATGTACGACAGTTAACTCTGTCAACTGACAAGGACAAGTACGGCATCCGTCTGAGGGCTGAGCCTGACCACATGGTGTTGGGAAAGAGACTGAAAGGAGCCTTTAAAGCCGTAACCGCTTCGATCAAGGAGCTGACCAACGAGCATCTGGAGACCTTCCAGAAGACGGGTGAGTTTCTGGGGTGGGAGGAATCGAAGAAGAAGAAAAAAAAAAATCAAGATGGTGAAACCATTGTGTGTTCAAACTTTTTTTTGTGAATAATGTCAAATTTGCATTGTTTTGCATTTCATGCATTGGTTGTCATATGTTTAAACAGAATTTTTGCAGGACCAATTCCCACCAGCTCGACTATAGATCAAAGCAGTAAAAGGTATCCCTTCTCCAATTATAGACTGACTTGGAGATCCCCCAAAGTGTCTGGGGAGGAGAGTGAAGGGCAGCAGGGCTTAGAGAACTTTACATCCCATACTACTTTGAGGTTTCAAGCCAAGTTCATTGGAAATAACTAAGGTTTGATGATGAAGTGGCAGAGATTGATGTGATGTAGGACGGCAATGTATACAGAGATAATAATTCGCTTTGAGTAAAAAGTGGACCAAGAACTACTCAGGTGCCTAACAAGGATAAAGAATGAATCAGTCGTTTATTATACGTGTGGTAGAAAGGCCTGCAAATGCCTGGCATTACTGCTCATTTGTTTTAAATCTCTTCTTTTGAATCCAGCTTTTTTTTTTTAGAGCAAAAGAGTCAGGGGTGATGAGAAAGGCAAAGGGACAGAGAAGTAGAGTGAGACACAAAAATCAAAGTGTGGAAATCCAGGATTACCAGGGATAGCTGCAGTTATTCGATCCACTCTGGGTGTGAGGAAGGGGAGGGAAGAACAGCTTTATCGGTGATTTTTAGTCAGAACACGGACACGGGTTAATTGATGCCTCCGGCAAAATGGAAATACACACTAGGTGTGTTCATTTTCCTGTATTCTGCATTCACCTAAAAATCCATATTAGAGACTTCTGAGGAGATTATACCTGCAGTTATTTCCTGTTCCAATGAAGTAAAAAGTAGAAAGTTAATAATCTATGTAGTCTCACGATCCTTGCAGCCCACAGGTGCAAAACTGAATTTTTTTCGCGGCCATTTATGTGTCGCCAATGGAAGTTTGGGCCACAGCCCTAATTAAGAACCACTACATTAGACAATATATCAATAAAAGTTTGGATAAAATTAGAACATAACATTAAAGAATAAAGATCAAAATAGAAATTTTGATTCCAGCCTTGTCAACAGAAAGTGAGCAGAGCTTTTACACCAATAGCACATTAAATTTTTCCTGCTTTTAAGTAAACCAAGTTTGACTTAAGCTGTGTTGCAATTGAACTTTTTTATTATTTTACTCTAATCAATGTGCTATTTTATTATTACACCCACTTAGTATTCTGTTTAACTTCCCCCGTGTAGTTGGAAATTCCACAATTTATTTATGTTATTTCCTTAGCCGGATGACTTTTATGTTGGCCGTAACTGTAGTTGTCACTGTGTTCATTTAAAGGATCCATAATTGTGGACGGCCACGAGCTTCACGAGGAGGACCTAAGACTGATGTACACCTTCGACCAGGACTCAAACTGTGCTGCACAGTACGAAGCCCACTCTGACGAACAGGTATAGTCCAGTCTCACTTTTATCAATCGTGTCTGACTGGTGTATAGATTGAACATTATTAAAACATCGACGTTTGACTACAACCGTCTTCAGATCAGAGTTGGTCGATTGACTTCCAGTCCCAGTCCCAGTTCCAGTCTTTCCACTTAGTCTACTTAAGTGTAAAGTGTAAGAGCAATTAGAAACTGTTGTTGCAGCGTTGCTCTGTTATGAAAACAATCCCCTTAAGACCCCACCGGAATTGTCAGTTGATACTTAATGTAGTGAGGAATGTATCATACACAAATCCCCATCCACCATAGTAAAGCTACACTGTCCACCCCAATAAGCCAGGTTCATATGTCAACTGAGTGTTTCTGAGTTTTGAATGCTTCAGTGACAGCAAAAAAACGAGGTAAATTTGACACACTTGCTGTGTTACTAAAAAACAAAAAGGACCGAACAATTACACACTTCTAAAGCTTATACTGTATGTTCCTTTTTTGTGGAGTGTGGTGGAAATAAATAAAAAAAAAGATTTTCTGCGGAGTGTAATACAACATGTTTGTGTTTTCCCTGTAGGCCTTCTCAATCAGTGCTCACCAAAGCATAAATGCAGCACATGGCTGCACCTTAATACCAGTGCACTGAGCTGGCTTTTTAACTCTGTTACACTCGCTCACTCACACTGATTCCCCTGCCTCCCGCTCGTCGTGGTCCGCGTTCGCTTCTCTTCTCGGGCTTCTCTTGCTGCTGTCGCTTGTCTGTTCCATCTTCAACCCTGTCGTCCTGAACACTTCGACTGTTAGGGACAGAAGCAGCTCTGAGCTGAGCTCAGCCCAATGTTGACGTGACTACAGCGCACTAACAAAGACAACTAAAATATCATGATTTTGGTGGATTTTGGTTTATACGTGATGAATATAATAATCGGTGTTTACTTTCTAATCACTTGTTTTTGTGTTTACTTGTTTAATTATTAAGTCACTGTGAACAGTAATCAATAAGGTGACCCACAATTTATGCTAATGAAAATTGTATTTAATGATCCTACTGGTGCATTACTGATGTTGATGGTAAATGGGATTAGTTGGGAATTAGATTTTGATTTCACATTACTGCTCCACACTCTACAGAAATGGCTGTATATTAACAACAATTGGCATTATTGTTTATAATATAAGCATTTTAGGTCGATGTACTTATTAGTAAGACATTCTTGTAACTGTTTATTGTTTACACACAGGAAAAGTATATTTATAGTATAAGTATATAAGTATTTATACAGTATATACTTATACATATGTATACAGTACATACCCTCACTCCTCTAATAATTCTATTCTGAACTTGACCTCCTCTGTCACCAGGTCTTGGTGCTGCTGGATGTCACCCCGGACCAGTCCATGGTGGATGAAGGCGTTGCCCGTGAAGTCATCAACCGCATTCAGAAACTGCGCAAGAAGGTGGGGAAAGTATTTGTAGGGCACCGTGAACTCTGAATCAGATCTGACACTTAACATGGGACCACTGAATTTGACAGTCTTATGATTAGAATCTTGATGTAATTGCAGCAACACGTCAGCCAATGTAATCAAGGTCGTTGTCCTTGTCACAGTGAGCAAAACATTCCAGTTTAGACCGTGGCACATTGAGCCTTTGTGGCTGGATCATCCCAACCTGGATGAGATATATATATATAAATATATATATGTATGTATGTATATATGTATATATTGTATATATGTATATATACTGTATATATATTATATACATACTATATGTATACACTGCATATATATGTATATACTGTGTACGTATTTATATACTGCATATATATAATAATTACCCGATATATAATATATATGTATATATTTGTATTTATATATATGTGTATATATGTATATATATGTATATGTATATATGTATATATACCGTATGTATGTATGTATATATGTATATAAATGTTATATGTATATATACTGTATATATATTATATACATACTATATGTATACACTGCATATATATGTATATACTGTGTACGTATTTATATACTGCATATATATAATAATTACCCGATATATAATATATATGTATATATTTGTATTTATATATATGTGTATATATGTATATATATATATATATATACATATATATATGTATATATCTATCTATATGTGTATATATATAGGGTAATTGAAACACTCTTACTCTGCTGCCTTGCTTTCATCACTCCTGCTAATTTGTCAGGGCACTTTCTAAATCTTTCCACTACAGCCGCACAGTCAGAACCTTCTCCATCATAAGTCAGGCTTATAATGGAACTCTTAATTACGGTTTGGCTCCTTACAGATTCTAATGTTGGACCTTGGAAGGAGCCTGGGTAAAGACGGATTAGCCAACAGCCTCTTGATTTCACAAGAAACAAAACACCTATAACAGTGCTGTGTACTGGCTGGTGGCCAAACTGAATTCCTCTGGTTATTTCAAACTGAGATCTGATAGGAATTTTCCGTCCTGGAATAGGAATTAATTTTGCAACCAATCTGTAACATGGATGATGGCAGTATGTTGGTGCACTGATCTTATCTACATATGTGGGTCGACCAAAAGTCATCCTTTTATTCTTTTTATATTGTTCCTCCCTATCTAAGAGTAACTATAGCTTTGTTTAAAGTCACACGAATGCGCCGTTTTTTTTGTGTTTTTTTATTTTGTCATTATTAATACCTTATTGCAAAAATATACCAAAACACTAGATAGTTTCAAACAAATGTCTCCAGAGGTGTAGTTATACCAGGAACACACACAGTACTAGCCTCTTCCAGATGGGGTCAGAAGCTTGACTTGAAAGAAAAAGGTCTATATCCTTTGTTGATTGACTGCTGGTCTTAAAGCCTGCTTTATTCCTCTGCCCCTCAACAACAAAAGCCTGCTTTATTCCTCTGCCCCTCAGCAACATCCAGCAGATAGTCTGTGTGTGTGTGTGTGTGTTGGGAACAATTATGTACGGTGATGATGCGTGTGCTTCAATAGTGACTGCAGATTAGGTTGAGATCAATGTGTTTGATTGTGTCTGGGTATAAAGAAAGTGGCCGTTACTCACGGCATAAGACAACAGGCTCATATCCAGTAAAAAAAAAAAAAAAAAAGTTACTGTGCTCTACTGGCTGTTGGCTCTTTTGTAAAATCATTTTTCAATTTTATTAAACCCATCCCTCTATGTTTCCTTCTGTCTAGGTGAGTAGGGATGTCACGATTAAGGATTTTTAAGATTTCTTGGTACAATTATTCTCAGAGAATCTATCATTATATTACAATCATCACAATTGATTTCAAAACACTATGAATGTGTAGAATCACACAAACACACCTTGTAGGTCTTTAAATCACATTCAGTTCTATGTTTTGATTCCAACATAACACAAATGTAGCAACAAAGTCAAATAACCAAAAAGTGCAAGAAAAATGACAATAATCACATTTAAAAAAAAAAAAGAAACATTAAAACCAAAAACTGCTTCATATGTACTTTAATATCCTCACAAAGAACTTTTCTGTAAAGTAAATCACACACAAAAAAAATACATTGCTAGTTATATCACCCAATATTTGTATATATGTGCTGTTATACTGTTAATTGCTAATGTTTTTTTGGGGGGGGGGTGTTGTTATTTTTTAAAGATGCCTTAGTAATTTTTACTCACTGGTCATCCTTGTTCCAAAAAAGAAGAAATGACAAATTTATTCTCCTTACCTTTACCAAAGGCTCACTTGGTACCGTCAGATGAGATTACTGTGTACTACCGCTGCCAGCCAGAGGGGGAGTACTTGCACTCTGTGATCCAGGCTCATACTGACTTTATTCTGGCCACGACCAAGGCTCCCCTGCTGCCCTCCCCTGTTCCCAGCAAGGCTGTTGTCATCATAGAGGAAAAGACTCAGGTATGGAAAAAGCGCCTTAAGGCAACCAGAAGTATGTTGTCTTTGTTGAATGATTATCATGTATTTGTCATTCCTCAAGCCATCGACACATACTTTACTAAGTACATGGAAATATCAGAGCATCTTGGTCTTTACTTAAATACAAATAAATACATCCTTTTTTCCCCCGTTTATTGTAGCTGAAAGGCTCAGACTTGGAGTTTACCATCGTTAAAGGATCTTCAGCCTCGCCTGTGTGTCTGGACGGACCAGCCTGCAGCTATTTGAACCTCAGGGTGAAAATCAACAACAAGGAACAAGGTATAATCAATGGAACCTGTCAAAAAAAAAAAACAATTCCAGTGAAAACTTTCAGTAGAAGGAATTTGAATGTGTTTCCCACCTGGGTTATGTTATAAATGAATAGATAATTTCTATTTAATCTGATCATTTTCATTTTGTTTACTTCAGTGGGTCTCAAGGCTAAATATGCCGAGGGCCACTGCTGTCATTTAATTTTAGGGCCACATCAGTGCCTGATGTTCAATACAAAAAAAAACGACAGATATATTAGAACAGTGATTCCCAACCACTAGTGTGCCATGAGGGATCATTAGGTGTGCCGTGGAAAAATATTACATTTCACTTAACTGGGCTGAAAACTATGATTGCTCATCAAAGCATCAAAAACAGAGCAATTCAATGGTCTCCTGCTAGGTGGCAGCAGATAGCTAGGAAAACTAAAAAACAAAAAATAATACTGTTATGTTTGTGTCTTTCTTCAATTCCTGCCAGTATATCACCTTTGTCTTCAACTAAACAGGCTGAGGTTTTAGTCAGTTATGAGGTCACTTAAACTAGAAGATTATTATTTTCTTACATATACACTTTTTGAGATTTTTCTCTACTACCCAGAAGTCACACAACTATTATTTTCAGATCTGACTCCTGTGCTCTGGTCAACTGTCGGATGTTTTTTACATGTTGTTTTGCCTCTAAGTAATTCCTCAGATTAAAAACATTAATATCCCAGCCCTGATAAATAAATAGATCCAACTGATCTTTTACCAGGCTTCGTGTGTGAAGGACAAGTTAAAATTACTACAACTAAAATAATATAGTAACGATAATATTTCTTTCCTTGTTTTCCTGATCAGAGGGTGTGGTTCTGCTGGAGAACCCCAAAGGAGACAACAGACTCACTGTGGACAAGCTGAAGGTCGTGTGCAGCAGCATCTTCGGCTCAAACAACACCCAACTCAGACTGTTCAACGGAGAGACAGGTGAGGACCTTAATGTTTAAAATATAGAATTGGGTATTGGTTGTTTTTTTTTGCTCTCTCGACTGCGATGATTCTTTTTGATCTCTGATTGGTTTGTTTTCCCACAGAATTGACCCCTGAAATAGACCTGCAGGCACTGAGTGGGAAAACTTTGTCCGTGACTTCAGATTCTTCATCCCCCGGTTCCAGCTCCTCATCAGATGGCGTTCTCTGTCCATATGTGAACCTGCTGCTCTGCAACGCACAGCCAGCTGGTGAACAAATCCACACATTCCATTACCTTGTCACGCTAGCATTCTATTCACTTAATCAAATATAAAGAGTTGTGTTTGGTTGAGAACACTGGTTCTAGTTAGATTCCTCTACCAAGGAAAAGGTTGTGGGTTTAATTCCACCTCCCAAAACACTTTTTGTGTTATTTTTTCTTTTTCTACATTATTTTTCATCTGCCTTCTCTCCTCATTCGTTTCGTCTCCTCGACTTTCTCGATGTTCGCCTTCTACTTCCTCTGCTTCTTTCTCCTTCTAAATGTCTTAGTCTTCTGCCTTCCCCTTCCATCTCCTCCTACTCCTTCTGCATCGGTTTTTGAAATACAGGATTCAAACCTCGTTTGGTTCACTTTTCCTAAGCCCTACATTCATTTCCTGTAGAATGCCTGACGGGAGAGGTCGGTACTCTTCTGCTGTTTAACCCAGTGGGCCAGAATGGACTGGATTACTCTGGTCTTCTCTCCGAGACAGCCAAGGTCTTTGGCCTTCGCAACAGAAGAACAAAACTCTACTTGGACCAGGACTTGACACAGGGTAAGATAAAATAGATGGCGGGAACTGCATGTGTTTTAGTGCTTAAGACCAGAATTCAGTTTTAACTAAATTGATTGTTTTGACCTCTTTATGTTTCATTTTTATTTATTTATTTTTTTCATTTCAGTTAGGTACAAATGTAGAAATAATAAATTTATTTTTTTCATTTCAGTTAGGTACAGATGTAGAAATAATAAAAAAAGGCACAGACAAAAATTGAAAAATTAATAATACTGTAAATTACAGTACTTCCTTATTTTTGACATACTACTTAATGGCCAGATTGAATAACTCACACACCTCTTTTTTTTCTTCTTTTACTTTTCAGAGCTGCCGTCCGATTTCTGTGTAAAATCTTTAGACACCAAGACTTTGTTTGTCAAAGTTCTTCCTACAACCGCTGAAGCTTAAAACCAGGAAAGTCGACCCAGGATCTAACCATTATCATGTGTCTCATATCTCATATTTTTTAACTTACTGTTCTCCCAGTGCTCACTGATGTACAGCCAGTGTGATGTTTGTCACTGTTTAAGGACTGTCTTTTTGGAAGACACTGACACTGAAAACTAATTGCTTTTCTCACAAAATTTGTCATCATTTTTCAGTGAGGCTGTTGTCAGAAAGTCAGAATTGGAAAGTGTCAAAGAGGAATCAAACAATACACACAGAGTAAATGACACCAGAGACACTTAGCCTCCTAAAGGTTTTCGTCAAAGAGGAATCAAACAATACACACACACACACAGTAAATGACACCAAAGACACTTAGCCTCCTAAAGGTTTTTGAAAACCTTTAAATGGAAGTTCTTAATGAAGATATTTAAACAAATATACCCGCTACAAATACTTTGAGGCGTCAGAATTGGCATAAATCATGATGAAAGTGACAGTGTTTCTTAAATGGGACCCAGGTTACATTGTTGTGCTCAAGTTTTGAATGTTACAGATCAGTAGGTCGACAGATTTCCAGGCTGCTGTACATCTTTGACAAGAGGGACCTCGGATGAAATGAAAAAAATGTACGGTTCTAGGTGAATCATGGAAGGAATGGAGTGTAACAAAAGGTAATCGTGGTTTTCTCTTTTGTGCTGACCATAATGTCACGGATTCTGACAGCTTTTTCAGCAGATGTTTAGCCTACAAAACCGTAAAGAAAAAAAGAAGAAGACGATTGTTCCTTTATCATCGTCACACCGGCACAGAAAACCAACTAGCATATTTGAACTCTGTCTTGTATCGCTGTCCTTTTTTTGGGTGTTCTGGGGGAAATTAAGTGACAATAACATATAAACAATAAAATGATGGGAAATTTGACTTCTAATCAACATCAGATGCTGTACAAACGTGCCTGTTTCTAAACCGGCCTTCATATCTAAAATATGGTACGGGTGAAAAATACAAAATTGGGATATAATAATTCACTATCACTTCGACAAAAAACACATTCTTAATTTTTACATTTCTTGTGGGGACCTATTCTCAGTATCCAGGGCATTGATCACAAGAGCTTTTATTCTTAATTTTTACATTTCTTGTGGGGCCCTATTTTGAATATTCAGGGCATTGATCACAAGAACTTTCTGACTAAGGTTTGGCTAAAATCCCAAGAAAAGTCGGAAATATCTTGGATTATGTTTCTGATTGATACCATATCTTAGAACAAGTACAATATTTTTGGTGTGTTTTTTTTTTTTCTTTCAAATTTTGGATAAAATGATAAACTGACAACAATTGACCCAAATATTGGTCCATAGGTACAAAATGTGCAGCATTAGTGGGTTTGTTTATATGATGTACTTTTGTGCTAAGATGATTGAGCCTGAGGATGGAAGTCGACGTAACAAACAAAGCCACCTGTTTAATTTTTGTCATTTACTCTAGTTACACAAAATGTGAACACAGATCAGCATTGGCTTTCCATGTCTATATCAGACATGTTGCTAATGCGTAGGCCAATAGATGCTGTAACTCAAAAGCTATAGGCCTAAGCTAGTGGAGATGCTAATTCTTACTCAAGCCATATCATTTTTTTTTTTAATAGTTTGCCATCTGTTACTCAATCCCTTAATCTCTTCATTAAGGATGGAAATAATTGTCAAAGTAAAATAAGGCATTTGCAGTTATGTAACACAAACCTAAGCTTTTTTAAATTGAAAAAGTGAGAAGATCAACTACTCCTGTGCAGAGGAAAACTTAATTTCCGTGTCTTCTCAAAGAACTGCGTATTTTCAGATTTGAGGAAAAGGAAGAGTGTATCTCATTTGTCCTGATTACAGATGACCCAGTAACTAACTAACCACGGGAAGCTGCATAAATGTTCCACTGTATCATTCTGTGAAATCCATTCATTATTATAGACACGTCCCAGTTTTAATGCCTTCACGCCCTAGGTGTTTTTAGGTTATACTGCCACCTGTATGGACTTTTCCCACTTTTGGGAATATCGTATCACGTCATAGTGGCCAAACTAAAAATTCTAATCATGATTAATCGTGATCGTAAATAATTAAAATATATCCTGATTAATACAATAATATTCCACACCTGCTTTTATTTATGTCTATTCCAGGTGATGCAATAGTATAACTTTTTTTTTTTTTCACCAGAGTTGCTGAATTGTACTATTCATCGTGAAGTTAGCTTGTAGGTTGTGTTTAGAGTTTTTTCAAAACTTCCGCTGTCTGAACGATATAACTCTGTCTGCAGTCGCCCACAATCCGTTTGACAACTGGATCAATCAGGCCATCAGGCAGCTTGTCAGCCGTACACCTAATTACTGCCCAGCGCCTTTTTTCCCCCACAGTGTGAGTAAATAACAAAATGGGTATCAGCTGTCCATTAGAGCAACAATAAGTGGATGGCTGGTGGAATTATTGGATGCATCATTCGGCCCATGATTTAAAAAATATTCTGGTATTTTCAGAAATACATTCACACAATTGACATGTTAATTTTAACAGCCTCCATGCAGTTGGACTGGGAATCTTTACCAGTAAAATTTGCTATTATTTAGCTGTTGGACAGGAGGAAATGTGAAGTTGTTTTTTTTTTTTTTTCATCTAACATTTCACCTGTAATGTCCGACTCTTCACCGGTGAATTCCGTCGTCTACAATCAGGATCTCTTCAGTGTGGTGATTTTTATAGTAGCCTCCTCCTGGGCAGAGCAGCATGCTGCTTCACTGGTTAAATATTAAGCAAATGACTTTGTCTCATCCTCCTCTCATCCGTTTCACTCCCATCTGCCCCTGCTGCTACATTTGTGCCTCCCCATACTCTGGTCCTGGTAAGACACCAGTTTTTCAAGGCCTCTGGTGATATGTATTAAAGGAACAGTGTGCGTTACTTATGATTGGAGTGAACATGACCTGCACCAACTTTAATAGTATGTACAGTAAATGTTTCACATGAGCAGCGATAAGTACGTTTCATCCACATACAGACCAGGGAAAGCAGTTTCCAGCCTGCTCTCTCTGCAACATGTGCACTGCTAAATGGAAAAATCAAAATCTCTCCAAGTCAGTCAATTCCCAACACCCTGCATGTTGCACTCCAGATTGACAGCTGCACACTGAGGTGCAAAGTAGACAGGGACCAGAAAGAAGAAACTTTATATTTTCTTTATTTCTGTGTATAATTTGCCAGGTTAGTAAGGCTCACAGTTCCAAAACCATTTGTACTTGCAACAATATCTCGACATAAGGCTTTTTTTCAAATTGGTAGGAGAAGCTGCACAGAAGGGTCTTAAAGAGAAGAAGTATCCAACCTCCTTACTTGTAGCTGTCCTACTACATGTCCGTTTGACCCCATTCCGTCCAACCTCTTGCGATCGGTAGACCCTACTGTCACAACAGCAATCACACGTGTGATTAACGCTTCACTAAAATCACTTGCTTCCACTGAGGTTGAGAAGTCTCACTCCTCCCACTCCTTTCCGAGATCAGTGAAGGGGCGCTCTTCAAACAAGTAACATAATTTCTTTCTCAAAACAACCTCCTTGACTCCAACCAATCTGGCTTTAAAACCAGGCACTCCACTGAAACAGCTCTGTTGTCTGGTCCAGAACACAGTGGCCTGTCAGGTCTTCAATCTGCCTAAAAGGGCACATGTCGCCCCAGTGATCTACATTGGCTACCTATAGCTGCCCACATCAAATTCATATCACTAATGCTACCCTACAAGGTCTGTTCCAATCTATGTTAGCACCATGATAAAGACTTATGTCCACCCACATGTCCACTCCCCTCAACTGGGGACTGTGGTCTGGCAGTCCCAACACCTCTTACAAGATCCATTACCATTAATCTTGAGCTACCGAGCACCACTAGAACAGGGGCGTTCACTAAATGCATAAAAATAAAAGTAATCGTAGAGTACATTCTCATTTAGAGGAAAATATATGATAAAACCTGGGAGTTGACGTATATGAATTGACACCATGTGTGACTGACAGGTCCAAGGAAACAACTGTAGATGTATAATAGAAGAAGAGCTGCAGGACTCCACAGGCAGGTAATGACGATGTCACTAAAAAAGCAAATAAATATGGTATTGGGTGTTTTTTCAAGGCAATACAAACAGACTCAACAATGATGTGCATCACTACATCAGGACAAGACGATTAAAATAAAATAAAATAAATAGGTCCCAAATGATTTTCTGTAATTCCTTTCTGTTCATTTTTCTTTCTTCACTTTTTTCAATGTTTTTTTAAGAAGAACATTTCTTCCTGTAATAAGTGCTAAAATGTAAAATTATTTGTGGCCCCTGGTGTAATTATATTTGGCCTGTGAGATCATATCAAATGTGTAGTAGAGCTGACCCGCCATTATATAGCCACTATATACTGGCAGGATTTGTAGTATTAGCGGTTAGCGCATACATTTTATTTATTTTTATTTTTTTGTTGGCCTGTGGGAAAAAAAACTACTTTAAAGAGGAACTCAAAAGGCTACAGATAAAGAGACATAATAAGAAATAAATACTACCGATGTGTGTTTTATTTCAAATTTAATTTCTCATGTGCTTATAATAATAAGCTTTGGTTGATCCAGATTCAATGTTTACCCATATATTTCCATATGAAAAAATTCATACGGAGTTTTTTTTTAGACACCCTGAAGTAGATCATGTTTACCTAAACTAGTTAGTTGATTGTTGTTGAATGTTCTGTTCTCGAACTTATCCTAACCTCCTTTAGGACACGTTCGAAACTAACGAACGTCCCATTGCAACTTGCCTTCGGGTGATGTCAGCAAATTTCCTGTCACAGAAGAAAGAACAAATATTTAAACTTGGGAATTTTTGTATCAGGACTGTTCAAGTTTTCCGCTAAGTAGGTACACTAACCATAGCCATTGCTATCTTTCAGATAATCCTTTTCTGTTTTAAACTGTTAAAATGTTTATAAATTCCTCGAAAAAACAACAAAACTTCGAAATCACACGCTCCTTGAACGCCGCAAGTGATAGTCTCTGCCAATTACGAACGACGCTCCAACAACTCACAGGTGTGAAGAATTAAAGCTTAATTTGATGCTAATTCGTGGCAGCTGTGTCTCCGCAAAAAAGAAACAGGAAAGGTAAATATTAATTACTAAATTGCAGGAATTGTTCATGAATATTAATGTTAAATTATATGAATATGTACGGAAACAAGCGACCAGTATTTATTTATTTTACTTTAATTGGTAATGAAACCCAAGAAGTAAAGCTGCGGTAGCTATGTCTTATCATTTCTATCGTTTAATTAATGTTACATTACCTACGACATTGTATACAACTCCTTGCCTAGCGTAGTAAAAATAGTAGACGCGAGAATGGTCCTCTCATTTTAAGCCATTTCCAGGGTTTTCTGTAAATTTGCTTGGAAATATCTATACCTGAGAATTGCATTGCAATTGTGCGTCTTTAGGAAGTGTTGTCGCTAATGCAGTGTCACTCCCGTTTGTCACTTCTGTGTTCACTAAACATACAATACTAGGAACGAAGTGTGTAACATTTTCCAAATATATGACAAAAATGCACACATTATGCAGATATTCTTTACATGTTCTCTAAAATATATGTATTCTCTTTTGTATGAAACGCTAATTGCTTGTTTCGTTCGCTGTCAACTGTCAAAACCTTGGTATAAGCTTTTTTATCATTTTTATTTTTATAATAATACAACATTTTTGAAGTCTAGTTATGCGGGATACAGTTAATTACACCTGGTTGTTGCTTCCAGTTATTTTACCTAATGCTGAAAAACAAAACTTAAACTGTGACGCATTTGTAAATAACAATTAATCCCGTTCTTTTCTTGGTGCTACAATAGTCGAAGGAGCTGCGCTGGTGTGACTGCACGGTGAAAAGTGAATAAGCACATTTGGGACTGCGTCGTGACTGAGAGAGAGCAGCATCCATCTTCATCCTGATACACCCGCCTCTTCCTCCTCATCCTCATCCCGGATCAGCACAAACAGGTAGGACCAGCGACAGATTCGGTTTTTTTTTTTTTAAGATGACAACACTTAATTTCATTCTTATGTCAGTCATCGTGATGTTAACGTTGTTTAGTCGCTGCATTGCACGTATTTTTGGTTTGCCAATGTCAGGCGGGATTATAGGAGAAATGTGCAGACATCTGTAGTGAGATGCTCCGGCAGAAGTGACACTGTTGCTACCCGTTCATTCCGTCGTCGGTCGTTGCCACAGAGACGTTCAATGTAGTATGCAGTGCAAGAGAGGCGTTGAAACCACGCTTAGATTTCCATTTTTTACGGTTCTTTTTTTTAATTATTAAATAATGTACAAGTCATTTTTTTCCCATTTTATCGTTGTATAAACAACGAGCACTGCATTTCGTCCCCCCCCCCTGCAGGGGGCGCAATAGTGTGTCCAGGTCAATAGGTGCTGTGATACAATATATTGTAGTTTACATCTAAATGTGGCACTGATGGACTGGAAGAATATCCGTGATGTATCTAGCTCTGGGTGATGACTGCAAAGATTATTTTCAGTTTTTACACCAGAAAACTAATAATGTGGCATTCGTTAAACGAGCTAATGATTTTAAATTTGTTCAAAACTTTTTGGAATTTGTTCTAGAGAGTAGCCAGCCAGCTAGAAATAATAAATGCACTTCAGGGCAAACTGAATTCCTTGCGACCTTGTGTCCTCACTTAAGATGGCGATCACCTCCTTTTTTTTTTTTTTTTTTTTTTGTAATGCTGCCCCCAGAAGACTGTAGTAGCAGCATAGCTGACCAGCAGGGTCTCTATTTAAAAAGCATAATTTCTACTTACTTGGTCCCCAAAGCCCCCATTTAAAAACAAAAAATACAGGTAGCATCACAGTAGATAAACACACCAATACACAATTTAGGTTGTTTTTTGTAAACCCTTTCGACTGATCCAAATGATGAAATTATTAATGTGAAAAATTTTATATATATATATATATATATATGCCTGATGATGATCTGAGACAAGCTAAGATTGTATTTTAAACTTGAGGTCCTACGATAAATAGAAGCTTTCTACAATTAGCGGATGTGTGGATACTCAATTAGCATCGTTGTGCACACGATAATTGAAATAGTATTATAGAACCACCACACAGTGAAGGACAAGACCCTGTAGGTGAATTAATAATAAAGTGACATGTATGCGAGAAAGAGTAATAAAAATAAATGATGAGTGTGCTATGGCATACTGCCATCACCATTAATCATCTTTACAACAGGTAGCACGTATAGAACTGCTACTGTGACACTGAGTAATGCATACCTAATTACCTTGGGTTTCTCGCGCGGTAAACACTGATGTCTTGCTGCTGACACATTTGCAGGAGAGAGCGGACAGCCTGTCCAGTGTCTGCCGTTGGAAATGAGTGCAGGCACGACGTGACATTGGCACAGAGTGCGAGGATGCGTCTGACAGCAATTGTAGTGTGTACCGTGCTGAACGACGAAGTGAATGTTAGAAATTTGGCTGAAACTGAGGGGCAAAATAAACAAGAGTCAAATTGTCGTTAAAAAAACAGTTTTTAAAAGTTAATTATATGCTGCTTACACAAATATCAATACGCTCACTGTAAGGATTAGGCCTGTGCTGGGATGACTGCTGGTTTGAATCCTACACTTGGCAAGACTCCCAAACCTCAAATGTAGTTTACAGTAAATATGTACAAGGGTAAATAAAGCTGCTATCCCTCATTTGGCTATACCTGACTGCTGTAGACTGCTTCTCTTCTGATGACATCGCATTAGAATTCATTTCATCGTTGTTCGATTGCTCAATGCAGTAATGAGGCAAAACTATTGTGGGGAATCGACATGGTGACCGTCGCCGGAAATTTGGACAAATGAATAAGAAACTAGTCAGTTCACTCTGTGTTCTCACTGTTCTCTCATTTCT